TATATATGAATATATAAAAAATATATCAAAATGCGTGTGGGTACTCAAATGAAAGCTCTTGATGAGTGTAACATCGAGATGAGCTTATATCTTTAAAAACGTCAATAGTTAAAAAAGTACAGTATAATTTAACAAAAGTCATTATTTAGTAAAGCAAAATTTTATTTATTTATAGTTCACAAGTCACGGCAGTCACGCAATGACTGCAAGGTTGCTAGTATCTATTAATTTATTAGAGTTGATTTTTTTTTTTTAATTAAAATAAAGGTGCCAATAACTGGATCTTTTACCTCACTGAAATTTGATTAAATTTTTTATCATTTGATTAAATTCCAAATAATTTTTTAAAATTTTATAAAGTACTAAAATTCAAATTTTATAAAATATACAAAGATACAAATTTAAATAAATAAAAATTACAATCATAATAAAAAAAAATCGAATATTTATTTTTTTCAATATCAATTTACTTAGCTTAAATATTCTAATTTAATTATAAAGAATGTTTTATACTCCAAATTTTCATCAAAAGTACAAAATCTTCATTCATAACTTCACCAAAATTTTACAAATGATCTTGAAAAAAATCAAATTAATATATGAAAAACCTTCTTCTAACTTATAATTTTTATACAATCGGCTAAGTATCATTTGACTTAGGAAAAATAATTAATTAACAATTAATAACAAAAAAAAAGTCTTATAAAATACAAAATACACTTCAAAATGACTTGTAGACATTAACAAACTGAAAAAAAAAATTTTGACTGAACTGTAAATTTTCTTGGCTCAAGAAAATATTAAGAAAGATTGAAAATTTCTTGAATGAAGTCTAACTTTTCTGAGCCAAGAAAATTTCTTCTTGCTTCAAAATAACTTGGCACAAGAAATTTGTTTCTTCTGTGGACATCTACAACCTCGAAGCTCAAAAGAATGACCACCAAGAACTCCAAAGTTCATGTCAACCCCAAATCACCCTTTAATAACAGCAATAGGCCGTAGCTTGATACACTTCTTCGAAATCCCCGCAGCGTGACAAGTATCAACAACATCAGTAACATTCTTATAAGACTCCGGCGCTTCTTCCATGACCAGCTTTGGAGAAGCGACCCTAATAGAAATGCCCATGCTCTCCATTTTATTCAGCACATCTTGATAATCAAGATTCCTGCGGGACTTGGCCCTAGAGAGTGCGCGACCAGCGCCGTGGCAAGTGGAACCGAAAGTTTCGCGCATACCCTGAGCAGTTCCAGTGAGAACATAGCTGCAGGTTCCCATAGTTCCTCCAATAAGCACCGGCTGTCCTGTTAACTGATAATCCACCGGAATGAGAGGATGATGAGGCGGAAAAGCGCGGGTGGAACCTTTCCTGTGAACCAGGAGAGTCTTGAGCTTGCCATCAACCAGGTGTTCTTCAACCTTGGCGATATTATGAGACACGTCGTAGATAACCTGCATGTCCAGGTCATCGGGAGCCATGTGGAACTGCTTAGCAAAAGCTTGTCGACTTAGGAAGGTCATAGAGCTGCGGTTGACCCAGGCGAAGTTCGCCGCAGCAGCCATAGACTTCAAGTAATCCTGACCTTCCTGAGAATTAATATGAGCGCAAGCCAGCTGCCTATCGTTTGTTTCAATGTTATCACGCTTCATCGCCTTCTCCATGGCTACTAGAGCGTCAGTCGCCACCTGGTGGCCGAACCCGCGGCTTCCTGAGTGAATCATCACACAAACCTGGCCTTTCTCTTCGATCCCCATCTTGCAGGCCGCTGACTTGTCGTAAATTTCATCAACCACTTGGATCTCCGCGTAATGGTTCCCGGCACCGAGAGTTCCAAGCTGGGGAAGTCCGCGTTTTTTCGCGCGTTCAGAAACCTTTGAAGGATCTGCGTTGAGCATTCGCCCGTACTCTTCGCAGTGCTCCTTGTCTTCCGCCCAGCTGTACCCTTCACGGAGCGACCAGTCCATTCCCATCTCCAGAGCCTCCTCCAGGTCGGCTGCCTTCATGGGAATTATTCCCTTAGAACCCACTCCCACGGGAATGTGGTCGAACATACTCTGGGCTATTTGTTCCTTCACTGGAGCCACGTCTCTTTCCCAGAGATTCGTTCTCAGCAAACGGACTCCGCAGTTTATGTCGAAGCCTACGCCTCCTGGGGAGACTATCGACTTCGGGTCGTTCATGTCGAATGCTGCCATGTTTCCTATTGCGAAGCCGTAGCCTGAATGCACGTCTGGGAGCCCTACTGACCTTCCGACTATTCCTGGTAGCGCTGCTACGTTCGCAATTTGCTTCACTCCGGGTAGAAATCCACCCACTGCTCCGGGGCGGCAGGAATTTCGGAGCTCTTCCAACATTAGTTTTTCTAGGGTTTTGTTCACGTAAAATACTCCTTCGACCTGGAAGTTTTGTAATTTTAAATATAATTTTCGTAATTAGTTTAAATGGTTTAAATAAATGAAAATTAAATTAGCTGACATCTGAAAATATTTGTAAATATTTTTATTGAAAAAATTGTTACAATAAAATTAAAAGAAAAAATTGCACATGTAGAAAATTTTAAAAATTATACGTACAATTTTTTTAAAGTATTTTTTTATTTGCAATTTAATTGTTGAAAAAAATTTTTGAACGTCGGATAACTTTAATATCATTTTAAATTAAATAAAATGATTTATATGATCTAAATGATTTAATTTAAATATAATATATTGTTGTAGATTACAGAGGGCGTTTCTTTTCAAATATGGAATAAAAAATAAAATAATTAGAAGTAGCAAAAGTCTTGAAAAAATTATTTTTCAAGTAAAATTACAAATGAGTTTTTCAAAATTTATATGACATTTAAATTAGCAGTTACTTCGCTATTTAAAAAAATTTTATTAACACCAAATTCGCTCAAAAAATTATTTTTAAAAAATTGCATCAATTTTTTTTAATTTCTACATGTCAAATTTTTTTTATCATTATTTTTGCCGTAGCAAATGTCTGCTAGATTAATTTTCATAAATTTATTGAGGTAAAATTGAAAAAAGTCTGACAGTTTAAAAAATTTTCTTAAATTATTGAATTTGATAAATTGAAAAAAATTTTTACTTGTAAAATTCTGAATGTCATTTTTTTTAATTAATATTAAAAATTAATTTAGCAGATATTTTATAATTTTTGTAACAAATAAACTATGGCAAAGAAATGGGGAAAAAAATTTGACACGTAGAAATTTAAAAAAATTAAAAATGTATTTTTTTCCATAACATAAATTTGTTTATTAAAAATTAAAATAGTTAAGTGACTGCCAACTTTAATCTCATTTATTAATAAATTAAAAAAAAATTTAAGCACAGTTATTTTTAATACTAAGCAATTTATTTTTCTAATCAAAACTAATAAAATTGTCAGCTGTCTGCTGATGCAATATCTTTATTTTATTTATTAATTGATTGTTTTTTTTTATGACATTAAAGTTAGCAGTCGCTTGACCATTTTTTAATTATTTTTAATAAATAAATTTGCTCCAAAAAATGATTCCTAAAAAACTTCCTTTTTTTACTTTTTTAATTTTCTAAATGTCAATTATTTTTTTTTATTTCCTTTGACATAATTTATTTGTTAAAACAATTCTTAAATTTATAAAATATCTGCTTAATTAATTATCATCTTTTTTCTTTTTAATTATAATAATTAAAAAAAAAAGTTTGTAATTTTACATGTAGACTTTATATTATAAATATATTTTTTAAAATTACCTTCATATTTGGTTGAAATCCCATTTTTATACGCCAGCAATGATCATTAATTTTTTCAAGATATTTTAACTCTTCTTCATACTTTCTTACAACCATTTTTAATAATTTGTTCTAACTTAATATTTATAAAAAAATTTCTTGATAGTAATTGTTTGTGAGCCGGCTGTCAGTTTGAGGTTACGCAGTTCGGAGTTGTAATCTAGAGTAAATAAACAGTTGATCAGAGGCTTGAAAAAACTGACGACAGATGGCGCGAAATTGGCGCAAAAAAGCAAAATTCGGTTTAAAAGCAAACGGACATGATACGCGGGTAGAGTTACTGTTTATAAAACAGTAACTGTTGTTATAATTCTCTCTAAAGAATATCTATAAGAAAAGAAGAAGTGTCTAGGATTCACACACAAAAAAGTCCTGATAAATCCACGCCGCGTGAATGTAAGGACCTTAAATCCACGCAGCGTGAAGGTAAAGGTCCTTACATTCCCGCGGCGTGGATTTATCAGGACTTTTTTCAGTGTGAATAGACTCGTCTAGGAAAACAATGCAAGGTATACTAAATAAGCTCAGCCCAGTTAAGTACGTAGTGAACTTGAACTACTTGAACGAGTCCTGTTTAAGGATTTTGAGATATAAATAATATAAAATAGTGCCGGTTTATATTTAATAAAAGTTTGGCTCCGTATTTGTGTTGTGAAATTATGACAAAAATATTTGGGGTTAGTTTTTTATATTATCTAAAAATTACTAAAAATTATTACATTATTTTGATGAAAATTAATGATACCGGCATTAGCTGACATATGTTATGAAAATTAAGTTAGCCGACATTTAAAAATTTTTAGAATTGTTTTTTATTGAAAAAATGACTACAAAAAAATTTTTTTTTAAATTTCACTTGTTAAAAACTTCAAAAACTATAAGTGCAATTTTTTAAAAATATTTTTTTAATTATAATTTAATAAATTAAGCAAAATAAAAAAATCAAGTGTCGGCTAACTTTATTATTATACATATGTTAGACAATTTTTGATTTTTTGAATAAATAAGAATTATCAGTAAAAAAACGTCTTTAAAAAATTGCACTTGGAATTTTTCAAATTTTCAACATGTCAAATTTTTTGTTATTCTTTTTAAAATAATTTTTTTCAACAAAAAAATTATTAATTTTCCGATGCCGGCTAATTTAATTTTTGTTTAAAGTTAATGAAAATTAATTTAGCAGATATATTTAATAATTTTAAGAATATTTGTTACAAATAAAATATAGGAAAAAAAAATTATTTAAAAAGTTCCATCTTCAGAAGCTCTAAAAAATTATAAATGTAATTTTTTATGATGATAAATTTAGCAGATATTTAATAATATTTAGAATTTTTTTTAACAAATAAATTATGGCAAAAAAAAATATAAAAAAAATTAATATGTAGAAATTTTGAAAAATTAAAAATGCAATTTTTTAAAAATAGTTTTTTGGAGCAAATTTTTTTATTAAAAAAAATTAAAAAATTCTCTAGTCACTGCTAACTTCAATGTCATTAATTTTTTTTAAATAATTTTCCAGACTTAGTTTATTTTTAAAGAAAATTAAAAAAATTGTCGTGTCTGTTAATTTCAATGTCATTTAAAATTGTATTTCAACATAATATTTAAATCAGCTTACAATTTTACAATTTATAATTTTTTAATTTTATTAAAGATGAAGTAAGTACTAAAAAATAATTTTTTTTATAATTTGCATTCGAAATGATACTAGAGCAGATACATGACAATTTTTGGATTTTATTCAAAAAATGAATTAGTTTTTTAAAAAATTCTACATGTAAAATTATTCTTAAAAAATTTCGTTTATCAAAAAAATTCTAGTAATGATTAAATGTCTCTTAAATGCATTATCATAATTCCAAGTAAAAATTTTTTTTCTCAAAATTTTTCTTTTTTATAATTAATTTTTTGATAAAATCCTAAAACCTATCAAGTGTCTGCTAGTTATAGTTTCATTAAATATAACCTAATAACATTTTATTTGTATTCCAGAAATTATGGCTTCTGATTTCGTCAAAAACGGGGAATACACCGTTACATTTGGCGATTTTGAAACAGAACAAGACAGCGGTTGAAAAATTACTGGAAGAAGGCGCTGATCTAATAGCGGAAAATAAAAATCATCAAAATTCTCTACAAATTGCAGTCAATCTAAGCGTTGATGATGATAATGATGATCGTGATCATGATAATGAAGTACTCAATCTTTTAAAAATGCAATTTTTTAAAAATAGTTTTTTGGAGCAAATTTTTTTATTAAAAAAAATTAAAAAATTCTCTAGTCACTGCTAACTTCAATGTCATTAATTTTTTTTAAATAATTTTCCAGACTTAGTTTATTTTTAAAGAAAATTAAAAAAATTGTCGTGTCTGTTAATTTCAATGTCATTTAAAATTGTATTTCAACATAATATTTAAATCAGCTTACAATTTTACAATTTATAATTTTTTAATTTTATTAAAGATGAAGTAAGTACTAAAAAATAATTTTTTTTATAATTTGCATTCGAAATGATACTAGAGCAGATACATGACAATTTTTGGATTTTATTCAAAAAATGAATTAGTTTTTTAAAAAATTCTACATGTAAAATTATTCTTAAAAAATTTCGTTTATCAAAAAAATTCTAGTAATGATTAAATGTCTCTTAAATGCATTATCATAATTCCAAGTAAAAATTTTTTTTCTCAAAATTTTTCTTTTTTATAATTAATTTTTTGATAAAATCCTAAAACCTATCAAGTGTCTGCTAGTTATAGTTTCATTAAATATAACCTAATAACATTTTATTTGTATTCCAGAAATTATGGCTTCTGATTTCGTCAAAAACGGGGAATACACCGTTACATTTGGCGATTTTGAAACAGAACAAGACAGCGGTTGAAAAATTACTGGAAGAAGGCGCTGATCTAATAGCGGAAAATAAAAATCATCAAAATTCTCTACAAATTGCAGTCAATCTAAGCGTTGATGATGATAATGATGATCGTGATCATGATAATGAAGTACTCAATCTTTTGATAAATCATATTTCTGAAGATAACTTCACTAAGGAAGCTTACTTTAAATTCCTCGATGATTTGATCAACCATGGTCTACATAAGCACACTGAAAATCTTTTGGAGAAGTGTTTAACATTTCATGTAAACTTACTTTTTCCTACACCTACTTCAAACTGTCTTTCATTTAATTTGAAGAGTATCTTTAGATTAATTACACATTTTTCAATGACTTGTAATCCCGAAAAGATTAAGGCTCTACTGGAAAACGTCGAACAATTTGGTTCTCCAGAGATTAAAGTCAAACTAGATGCGGAGTTTCTGAATTGCAATTATTTTTTCAGATTTTTTTTAAACGGCGAATATAGCAAAGAATTTGACGATCAGTTAGGTATATTTGTTGAGCATGGCCTTGATGTTAACATTCGGACCAAGGATGGTTGGTCTGTCATGCATTCTACCTTTGATGTAAGATGTACAGATAGAACTAAAAATTTTTTAAAATATGGCGCTGAGATGAATTCTATATGCCTTAAAAAATTATCACCTGTTGACTTACTTTTTGGGGAATTATTTCCGATCGAGACAGATGATCATTTGAAAGTATATAGATTTATCAATTTTATTTCCCAGCATTTGTTTAAAATGAGGCTTCTGAATCAATTCGTCTGTGAAAAAGACTATCAGCAAGTGATGGAAAAGGCTGACAACCCGTATCGGTATGAGGAAGAGTACAAAAAAGAAATCGACAAGATGAAAGCTACGGTGATTAATAATTATATCACTTATTATGACATTGTGCGAGCTGGTTTATATAAATTGGTCAAGTATTTGGAAGACTCAGTTATTTTCGAAACATTGAAGTCTGGGAATTATGAATCTGAGTTTCCAAAATTCAAAACAATTATTAGTGGCTGTTTTTACAGAGCTTTTATTAGAAAGAAACTCCTGGATGAAGTTTCTTGCTACACTATATTTGATGTTGTCAATACATTTCCGTATCCTTGTATGCGATCCATAATGGACAACTTCAGTAATCGGGATCTGAGATATTTGATTTATCAATTTCGTCTTTCGAAAAGATCTTAAATAGTTTAATATTGGATAAAGAATATTTTATTAGAAAAACATGAGTAATTACTTAATAATTTTATTTTGATACATATATAATATATATTTATTTATTTATTTTTTTATTTAAAACCTAACAGTACAAGGTCAATAACAAAGTTACAAAAAGTTACATACTGTTAATCTAAATGGCACATATAGCTAATGATTAATAATAACTATATAATTATATTATATAAAATTATAAAAAAAAGTATTACAATAATAATACAGGGTTATAAAACACAATATTATAAAGTTATAGAACAAAATATTATAATAATATATATATATATATATATATATATATATTAGACTGTTCAAAAACCTTTTTCTTCTTATTATCTCAAAAATCGAGCTGGCACAAGAACGGGTCTCCTTTCCCATTTAAATAACATTTCTTTTTTTTTTATTTTTCAAATAACTACACGAATAAATTTTTTTTAATTTTGCTCTTAACTATCTTATAGGAAATTCAATTCTCTACAAAATTGTCTAAGTCTATTTTTTTTAAAAATTAACAGAAACGAAGTTACAGAGGACTGAATAGAAGGAAAAAAATAATGGATTATTACAAGGCCAATAACAAAGTTACATATCGTTAATCTAAATAGCACATGTAGCTAATGATTAATAATAATAAAATTATATTATATAAAATTATAAAAAAAAGTATTACAATAATAATACAGGGTTATAAAACACAATATTATAAAGTTATAGAACAAAATATTATAATAATATACATATATATTTGACTGTCAAAAAACTTTTTTCTTCGATTGAACGTATCTTAAAAGTTTCTTCAATATAAAAAAAAAAATTTCTCCTAAATAACGAATAAATTTTTTTTTTATTTTGCTCTTAACTATCTTATAAGAAATTTAATTCTCTATAAAATTGTCTAAGTCTATTTTTTTTTTTTAAATCAACAGAAACGAAGTTACAGAGGACTGAATAGGAGGAAAAAAATAATTAATGATTTAATAACAGAACAAAATTTATTATTTTAACTTATAAATTAATTAACTCAATATGCTTCATTATTCATAAAAAATTTTTGAATTTAATATTATTTTAAAATAATAAAAAAACAAAGTTTACAATAAAACAAAAATTAAATTACAATTTTTATATTTATATATTTTTTTGATCACTGATGTTGACTAGTTACATTTGTATATATTTATGGATTTGTATATTTGTATATTAGATTTGTGTATATATGTATACATATATTTTTAAAACTATTTTCAACAAAGATATATATTAGTTACTAAATAACTAACTTTCTAATGTTTTTATAAATTATTTCTTAACAAAATATTGAGATATAATTACAATAATTATTTCATTTAATTATTATTAAATTTTTCCCTAATTTATTTTTTAAAGCATTATAATAAATAAATGTGTTGACACTAATAAAACCAAATTATTGCAAATTATTTCTGACCTTGATTAATTATTTTATTTCTCTCGAAAGAAACTCAATAGAAACAAAGTTACAGAGGGCTGAATAGGAGGAAAAAAAATTAATTAATGAATTAATAAGAGAACAAAAATTATTATCTTAACTCTTTTTTTTCTTTTTTTCTTTTTTGTGAGAGGAGGGAAATCTTTAAAAGACACCGGCCAGATGTTGTTGATATTCTTCCACTTCTTCTTATATATATATATTTTTCTTTTAAACTATTTTCAACAAAGATTTATATTAGTTATGAAATAAACTACCTTTCTAGTGTTTTTGTAAATTATTTCTTAACAAATTATTGAGATGTAATTACGATAATTATTTTATTTAATTATCAATAAATTTTCTTCTATATATTTTTTATAGGCATTAAGATAAATAAATGTATTTTATTAAATAATAATTATAAAAAGTGACTCTAATAAAACCAAATTATAAGTATTATAAACAAATTTGTTCTAGAAAATTTTTACAAAAAATTGCATTTTTTAGTTTTTAAGAATTTCTACATGTCAATTATTTTTCCTTTTTTTTAAGCCATAATTTACATTTTAAAAATTATTAAATATCTGCTAAATTAATTTAATTTTCATGGATTTCACAAGAAGTAGAGGTATTTACAAAAGTATTCTTGCCTGTCATGGAGAATAGAATCCTTGGTATGTAGCTCCAGAAGCTCTGAGGAAAGTGAGATTTAATTTTCTCAGATTCAAGAGATTTTTTGCTGAGAATTTGCATGAAAATTAAGAAAGCCGTCATCTATCAATTTTTATAATTTTTTTTATTAAAAAAATGATCACAAAAAAAAATTTCATTTGTAAAAAACTTTGAAAATTCTAAGTGCAATTTTTTAAAAATATTTTTTAATTCTAATTTAATGAAGAAAAAAAATTTTCAATAAATTTGCACTTATAAATTTTTAAATCCTAAATTTTTTTATAATAATTTGATTATTATAAAAAATCTAAAAAATTGTAAAATGTCTGTCAATATCAGTATCATTGATAAAATTTGTATATTTAATTAAAATATATATAAATATGGCTTTAAAATTTTTAACCATGATTTTATCAATTTTTTTAAAAAAAAAAATTCCAGAAAATTACCTTTAATTTTCTATTCAGAATTGCAATCCACTATTTATCATAAAAAAAAAAAAAAAAAAAAACATAATGAAGATAAAAAAAAAATTGATCGACGGATATTTTTATTTATTTTTTGTACAATACTGCGATATGCTCACAACAAATGACAATGGACAATAATTTGTTCTGTTACAATTAATAATATAACATCACTATATGATACACTCTAAAATATCTACATTTGATAAGCTGTTAATAAAGACATCTAACAATGAAATACTTAATTACCCGGCTCAATCGGTTCTCCAATCTTGGTAACATCTCCGTCATATTTACTCGTCTAACATTAATTAATAATTAATCATTACATTATAATATCGGTCTACATAAACATAAACTATACGCATACATGATAACGATATGTTAGGTGATATGAAAGTGCCAAAGAGTTAACCGACATCTAAAATATTAAAATTACTTTAAAAATAATCTAATCGTCGATTTATCTATTTTCAGAAATGTTTTTAAATATTTATATTTTAAAACCAGACGGAATTAGTCACAATCATATCACTAATCGCTTAATTATTTTTTTTCTATTCGAACATTCCTTTCTTCAGTAATCAGTAATACAATATAAATGTATATATTTCAGTCACATAATTATTAATTATTACAATAAATTTATTTAAACATTTAATTCATCAGAAAAACTATGTTCAACAGCAGTTCATTAAAAATATTAGTCAATTAATTTTAATTAACTTCGGTCTCACGGCTCTCAATAAGAAATCTATTATCTATTAATTAAGCATTATTTCTTCTCTCTGTACGGAAAGAACAAGGTCACACTGAATATCATCCCAGATTATACTCAGTGATATCTGTAGTGAAAAAAAAATTTTAGATAACAGCTAAAAAAAATCCAGATTATACTCAATGTTATCTGGATTATACTAGCTACTATCTGAAATAGTGACGCAAAAAACCAACTATTTTTTTTTCGAGTCTCCAGTGAAAAAAAGTCAGTTTTTGATGTTTTAAGAGCCCTCTCCAAAGAACAGCTCAAAAAGAAATTTTTAAGAGGTCGCTCAAAATTTTTTTAAATTTCAAAAATCGAAATTTTTTTTTCTTTTTTAATTTTTTTTCTCGTTACGTTAAAATTTTATAGACCAAAAAAAATAAGTTCCTGAAAGTTTAAATTCAAAATTTAAATTTTGAAAGGTCGCTCATAATTTTTTTTTTTAATTTTAGAGTCAAAAAATGCTAATCCAATTAAATAGTCACTAATAAATTAAAAAAAATTATAAGCGACCTCTTAAAAATTTTTTTTTAAGCTGTCCTTTGGAGAGAGCTCTTAAAACATCAAAAACTAACATTTTTTCACTCGAGACTCAAAAAAAAAAAAAATAGTCGGTTTTTTTGCGCCAACCTAATACTCATTATAATCTAGATTATAGTAGCTACTATCTGAAATTTGCATACTTTTTTTAATTTAATTTTTATACTTTTTAATTTTAATACTCAGTATAATCTGGGATGATATCCAGTATCATCTTGTTTTTTCCATATAGATTAATTAATTAATTAATTATTCGTGCTTATAATTTTACAATATATTCAATAATTAATTATTAATATTATAATTTATAATTATTAATCTAACAATAGCACTGGTACTATGACAATTATTAATTTTTATATATATATAATATATAATATATAAAATTTCTAAGGTATTATATACATATGCGTAATTAATAGTAATGCATATGGCGCAATGGATCGGTTTTGCCTGCCCGAGCTGCTTCTATTTCATTAACCGTTTGGTTTTGTACAATTAAATAGTAATAATAAAAATAATATCAATTAATAATGATAATAATAAACTTTAGTACACAAGTACTGTTAGTCGATGAGCAATGATTAATATAAATTAATTACAAATAAAAAATATATATAATTAGTGATGTAAATAATTAAAACAGTAATATAACGAGGGACACAAAAAATAAACTATCTTGATAAGCTGCCTAATTATTTAAAATAATTACTTGCTAATTTATTGAGTCTATTATTAAGCTGCTACTCTGTTCATATTTTCAGACAATTAAATTCTAAATTAATTAATTAATAAAAATAAATTTTTATAATATAAAAAATATAAATACATTTATGTGTATATTTTACAATAGTAAATTATAATAATTTCAAGTTCTAATTGTAGAATTTATTTTATAAAAAAATTCCTAGCTTATATATAAATATAACTACAAAATAAATAAATATTTTTAAGCTGCCGTACTTTCAATGTCCCTCACTTTCAGTTTTTTTATTTATTTTAAAGTAAATTTCATCTAATTTAGATAATCAATTAATTAATTAATTTTTTTATAAATAATTTACGCACTTTTGTAGCGCAGCAGTGGCAGTCACAGAGTTTTACGCGAATTGGTCTCCGATTTACGTTAATTAATTATAATTATAATTTATAATCAATAGATCTGTCGTTTCTTTTTTTTAATATTAAAAAAATTTTGAATTTAGCAACATAATATTAAAAATAAAAATATGTATTATGTGAAAAAATAAAATAAAAATAGGTTTTGTGAGAGAAATTAAAAAAGTGAAGAAAAAAATATTAATTGAAATCACCTAAAGGACAACATCGGGCAGGGTACAATGCCACTAGGCATGTTGGAGCCCAGTTCTCATGGTGCCATGGTGGCTGGCAATTCCGTGGCCAATCATGGCATTGTTTCCGCCACTTGTCATGTCTTCGCGCACTATTTTACGCTCTTTGTAATATACTTCCTCGCTTTCTTTGTCGAACCACAGGAGTATCACCGCACCGAAGAGGAATATCGCTGCGCCCCAGCCGACCCCGTAAGCCCATCCGAACTCCCAGACTGTTCTATTCCCGAGATTCAGCTCTCCGGTGAAACACACTGGGTAAATTATCAACGCGATCAGCAGAGCTATCACTGAAAATAAAAATTTAATTAGTAAATTTATAATTAGATTTTTTAACGCTTGTTTGAGAAGTATTTTAATATTTTTTCTATTAATAATAAAATAATAAATTGATTCATGAAAATAATTCAAATTAAATTGATGTTATATATTAAGGAAAATAATTATTGCTTTTGTAAATTTTAAATTATTATGCTCAGTAAAAAATGTATTAGTAATAAGATTGTTGTAGAATAGCTAATCCTAAATTAATAAACCATTACATTATTATTATTAAAAAAAAAAAAATAAAAAGTTTTCTTCATAACCTAAAAAGTTAAATGTGAAATTTTATAACTGCGATAACTTTTGAATTATATGGTCAATTGATAAAATTCTTTTTTTATCTGATTTATAATTCTTATTAAAAGGTCCCCACAAAAATTTGTCTTCTAAAATTTTTTCTCTTAATTATTATTGTCAAAAAACGCTTAAAACCGGGCGTCCGCCATTAAAATAATACATTAATATAAAATCCTGACACCTAGATTTAATTTTGCGTAACAATTTAAACTTTGAAGGCGCGAATTTCAAAACTAAAAATAATAAATAATAAAATTTCTCACGATAAAAATTCTCAGCAATAATTTCTTGTACAATATTTTCTTTAAGGCTTTATTTCTCATTCTCAAAATTTATTCGGTACTATTTTCTTATATAAAAATTACTTTGAATATTTATAGCTTATGTGTTGGCCTATTTTTAGATAAACGCACACAAAAACTACGTAAATATTGAAGATATATAAACATTTTCGTAAAGATGATTAATTTTCGTCAGATTAATTTATGTTGCAATAAATTTTGTTTTGAGAAATTATTGAACTTGAGATATTATTGTAAAAAAAAAATTTTGCTGGGAAATTTTGACGTGGGTAATTTTTTTACAAAAACTTTTTTTAATGTTTTGCTGAATTAAAATTGACAATTAATAATTTTTGACTTCTTATTGAGTAGTCTTGAAGAAAATCAAAAAAAAATTTTTTTCATGACGCTTAGGTTAGTTCGACAATTATAAAAATTGAATTTGTAGCTCAATAAGTAAAAAATTATTGTAAATTTTAATTCAACAAAACAGCAAAAAATTTTTTGTGCCCTTTAGGAAGATAAAAAATAAAAATTTTTCTCAAACAAGCTTATAATAAATAAATAAAAAATAATTACAAGCCAGTAACATGCAAATGACAGCCATCCTGTAACAGCGATGTTTATTCCTGTGATCCTTGGACTTAAGCCCAAGCCAGGTGAGCAGAGTCCCCGCGATATCTGCCACCAAACAAACAATACACAAAGCAGCGACAGCTTTTATGTAGCCAACATCTCTGGCGGAATAGCATCCGGGTTCAGCTACAACGTTAAAAGGCAGCGGCGTCTCTGCACCATCCGCAATACAGTGTGTGAACAATCCTTGACGCCATCCAACCGCCATCAGCCAGTCCGCCGACGCCAGTCCCATTATCATCAGCAGGATCACGATTATTCCACATACCAATGCTATCACCTAAAAAAAAAAAATGAATAATTATTCCTATATTTAATAGAACTTATTTTATAAAATCCAAACTGTCTATCAGTTGTCTTGGATACCTGGGCGATTTCATTCTCCCCCATGTGATCGTCTGCGACAGTATACATTATCATTTTAAGTTATTATTTATTTACTTTATACTTTATTTATTCACTAAATTTTTTTTTAAAGGCTTGAAGTAAAAAAAAAATTAAATAATTAGCAAGAAGAATATTTTTATTTTAATTTTTATTTTTCTATGGAACGTCGTAGACCCGGTTGAGCCCCGCCATAGATCACTCACTCGTAGGGTGAGGCACGCTTCAGAACCCACCAAACTTATGACTTTCTTCCCTTGATGTCCTTATCTCAATATTACAACCAAACCCCAACTTGAAACTTGTAGCGGCTCTGAAGGTATCACCAACCATTTACCAGTAATCACTTGTGAATAATTAAACTTAGAGTACTACTGGTGCTTCAGACCAGAATCAGTGGGTTCAAAGACCTAATTTACATGCTATATGCCGTTTCATAACTTTTTATATGCCGTTTTCCGATTACGGATTTACGAATTACTATCGCCAGACTAGGACAGTGGGGTCTAGGGTGGCGATGCCGAGAACAGGGCGCAGTCGCCTTCGATTTTTCCACCCGGAGTCACGCTTGCGCGACTCACCTTACGATTTACGATCCACTTCACGTATTTAATCATAAGTAATAACTGATATTTATTTAGCCAGTGTCTAAGTGTCATCAAATTCAGGTCTTCGGTATTTATGTCATCGAAATTATTATTGATATTGCGGGGAAACTTACTTTGAATGGCTTGGTGATTGTCACTGTTTCTATTGTCGTTGATTGGGCCATTGTTTTACGGTATCTGTAGAAGAAATAAATTAGTCATTAGCTCTATTGTTTATTATTAAAATAGTAGATTATTTTTTTTGCATTGTTTAATATTGCAGAATTTTTTTATGATCTTTTTTTTGATTTAATATTGCAGAATTTTTTTATAGTGGATATTTATGCTATTTAAGACAGCTAATGGGTGAATAAATTTTTTTTGTTGTGTATGACAGCATTACGTAAATTTTTATTTACATAGCTTCGATCATTTTTAAATGACAAGGTTTTTTTATTGCTAAATAAATTATTTTTTAATGATATTGACATTAATTAGCAGGCATCTAAGAATTTTTATAACAAATTATAATGAAGAAATTTTAAGAAATAATTAAAATTTTTTTTTATAATAATTTATTAGTTGTAAAAATTCCAAGAATTGTCAGATGACTTTTCAGTATGATTTTTTTAGATGAAAAATTGACAAAATTTAAAAAAAAATTGAGTATCACAGTTAGAGCTTTTTATAATTTATAAATTTTAATAATTAATATACTATTCAAATTCTTTGAATATTTTTAGGAATTAATTGGAAAAAAATTTCAATTTGTTGCTTTAAATAAACAGATTGAATAAAAAAATTTTTTAAATAAAAAAACTGCTGAAAAAATTATTATTATGGAATTAACGGACGGATAAATTTTTTATAAAAACAATTACAATTGTAATTTTTGTCAAGAAATTATTTATAAATTATTATGAAAAAAATTTAGTAAAAAAATTCCAAATGGAGAAATTAAAAAAAATTTTTTTTTTACCAAATAATTTGTTATAAAAAATAATACTGATAATTTACAGAAATTTGTTAGTTTTTTAGATTCCTATAAAGTAAAAGACCCAATTATTGACACTTGCAATTTAATTTTAATTAAAAAAATAAAATGTTTTCAAAAAATCAATTATTTTTACATTTATAATAACTCAAAAATTATATTTATTAATTTATTAGAGTTGATTTTTTTTTAATTAAAATAAAATTGCAAGTGTCAATAACTGAATCTTTTACCTTACTAACTAAATTATTATGGATAATTTTTCTTAAAAAAAATTCACATCTAGAGACTAAAAAAAAGTTACAAGTGCAAATTTTTAAAAATATTTTTTTTTATAATAAATTTACAAGAAAAATAAAAAAAATTAGTCAGATGAATCCTAATTTCAGTATCTCCATAAAAACTCAAAAAATTTTTAAATATCTGCTAGTATCAATCTTAAAAAATTAAAAAATAAAGTTAGCTGACATTTAAAAATTTTTATAATTTTTTTTGATTGAAAAAATTATAATAAAAAAATGTTTTTTAAATTTCATTTGTAAAAAATGATAAAAATTAAGTTAGCCGACATTTAAAAATCAAAAAGAATTTTTTTATTGAAAAAATGACTACAAAAAAAATTGTCATTTTTTAAAAACTTTAAAAACTGTAAGTGCAATTTTTTAAAAATATTTTTTTGTTCTAATTTAATTATTAAAAAAAAAATCAAAAAATTGAAAACGTCGGCTAACTTTAGTATCATTAAAAAACTATAAATACAATTAAAAAAAAATATATTTTATCCAAACATACTTACAAAAAAGCATACGCTTGAAGCACTTGTCAATTAGATAGTCTATCAATTATCATCGAAGCATTTGTGGTCACAAAACAAGTACAAACACACACTGGTATCATTAGTAATTATCTCGGACATTAGTAAGTATAAACATGACCAGTCAGTAGCTTCTGTGGGTCTGCTAATTACTCAAAAGGTAATGAGACACTGGCCACTGGACACTGGATCTGGAGACAAACTTTTACTGGCTTAGATGTCCAAGGAAACCGAGACGCCAGAACCTGAAAAAATCACTGGATTACAATTACAACCTGGTTATTGTTTCGAGTGCAATTAAATTGTTTCTCGAACACTTTTCAATAAACTCCAAGAAGATGATTAATGCCGATTACTAATCCTAGGTATGAATGTTTACATCAATATATCTACACATATTTACGTTTATATTATATATACACTTACGCTTTTTTTTTTTATTGTAGATTATAGATAAATTTACCAGCTATACTGTGTTTAGTTGGTTATATACCTTATACTTGGTACTCCTAACTCTTGTGCTCCAACTTGAATTTAAGGTATAAGCCGTGGCAGGGTACACGCCAGAGATTGATGTGTCTCATTTATCCAGATCCGTAAGTTGACGTCATGCTGAAAGAGGACGCTGTGAATCAGAGCGTCAGAAATGACAAATATTTTTTTTTAATGCTCACTGCTTACAAGGAATTTTTAATTTTTAACTTACATTACAACTGCTTGCTTTTTTAATTCAACTAGACTCTGCACTCGGAATCTACCTGCGTGATCACTCTTATCATTATCAGCAATTTTAATTTTTATCAATCATCCGTGATCATGAATGACCTAGAAGAATAAATTAAAAAATTAAAAATATTATTTTTAAGGTAACTAATTAATTATATTTTTTAAATATTTATTATTATAAATATAATATACAAATTAAAATGTCTACTTACATTTTAGGATTTCCCACTGTACCGGATTGAGGTAACCGGAGCTTTAAAATCCCGTATAATATCACCGTCCAAGATCAAAGTTTCAGATGTTATAATTTTTAATCCATATCCGTTTAGTTTTTACTGATGAAGTGCAGGTTCTCCAGCTGAAGAAATTTTTAATTGAATAATTTATTTATTTATTTGTAAAGAAACGCCCTCGGCAATTTACAACAATATATTATGATACTAAAGTTAGCCGACGTTTTTAATTATTTGATTTTTTTATTAATAATTAAATTAAAACAAAAAAATATTTTTAAAAAATTTCACTTACAGTTTTTCAAGTTTTTTACAAGTGACATTTTATAAAAATTTTTTTGTAATGATTTTTACAATAAAAAAAAATTATAAAAATTTTTAAATGTCGGCTAACTTAATTTTCATCTATATGTTACATTTTCATGCGTGTAGAATGTTTGATTAAAATGAACAAGGTAAAAGACCCAGTTATTGACACTGGGCCTAGTTGTTTGACACTTGCAATTTTATTCTAATTAAAAAAATTAAATGTTCTTAAAAAACCAATTTTCTCAAAATTGATAATTAAAAAATTATATTTATCAATTTATTAGAGATGATTTGTTTTTTTTTTTTTTTTAATTAAAATAAAATTACAAGTATCAATAACTGGGCCTTTTACCTTAGCATCTGTAAAAAGAAGATAGATTTAAGAAATTTGAAAGAAGAAAAAAACAAAACGAAAAAAAATTATTAGTAATTGATAATTGATAATCACTAATTGATAGTTAATAACTGATAGTTTATAATCACTATTTGTACACCTAGATTTAGTTTTAATTTAATTAAATCTTTAATTTAGATTAAATAATTGCTAATGATTTAGAACTACTGTTTAATTAAGGTTAAAATAATGCGAATATTTTTCTGTAATGTCGCTTGAGATTCACTTTATTCACTTTATTCACTAGCGCGTTAGTGTTCCGTTTTTTCTGGAATTTTGTTCAATGATTCTAAAATTAGCAAACATCTGGTTGATTCTTTTAATACTTTTTTTTTTAGAACTCTATAGAAGAAATTTATGGATGAAAAAAAGAGAAAATTATCCCCGGGCTAATTTTTTGAAACTGAAGTTATGATCTTGACATTTCTTCTTTTATAATTCAAGAGATTCTACTTTTTAATTTATTTAATGGCTAAAAAAGTTATAAAAAAAATTCAAGTTCAAATAATTTTGAATAATTCAAAAGAAAAAAAAACTCTAATTGTTTCCCAACTATTTTCTGAATTTTAATTTTTAAAAGTGACAAGTTAAATCCCGGAAACAGCACCTGAAACTTTTGCCGATAATTACTTAAACTTTAATAACTTCACAAGATTTTTAAACTTTTAATTTAATTATAATTCATATAACTTTTTTTCTCTATGACACTATTGTTGCTGCGGAACTATCTTTAAAAAAAGCTATAATTTTTTTTTAGATCTAAATGACTCAAATTTAATCTCAGTTGAAGTTAGATCTTATAGATGATGACATAAAATTTAAGTTAATCTAAAAAAATTTTTTCGACTTCGCCTCGGCCAACAATTACATGTGATCTGAGACATTTCTTACTTTACTTCCCTCGGTGTGTAATATACTATTTAATGTACAAGCATGTATACCATTCAAGATTAAAAAAATATCAACTGCTGCAACTGATTAATTTCATAATGATAATAATAATAAATATTATTACTGATAAGTTTTTTTATCAATTTACATATTATAAAAAAAGAATCACTTAATCAAAAAAAAATAAATTTAGTAAAAAGTAATTAATTAAATACCACAGTTGTGTGAAAAAAAAATTACTCCAATATTATTGGCATCATTCCTATAATATTATGGAAACTATTCCTATATATTATGGGAATCATGCCGATATTACAGTTATAATTATAGGTATCGTTCCTATAATTATAGGAACCATTCACATAATTATAGTAACGTTTCCCAAAAATTATGGGTATAATTCCCATAATTTAAGTAATCGCTCCTAAAATGGTATAGGAAAATATTTCATTAAAATTATAGGAATGATTTCCATATTTTTCTCTCCGTTAGTTAGATTTCTATGAAATCTACTCAAAAGAAAGATTTGATTCAATATTTGTTGTCATTTTATTTTTATGAAGCGCTGATTAGATTTTGAGTCTCACGTAGATAAAGTATAAAAAATTCAAATTAATTTAAAGTGTAGTTTTGTAACATCTCATATAATCTTATGAAAAAGATCTTTTCAAGATCGGTCTGTTTTGTTTACATCAATAATAAACGAAAAATCGTCTTATATTAAGCCATGCTTACTGCGTTAGCACTTATTTTCTGTCCCGGCCGAAAATTTAGTAAGTATAGTAAGTGACTTACTAAATTTAGTAAGTACTTACTTCGGCCAAACACGCCCAATTGTAAACGTAGTCATCATACGGATTGAGTGCGAAGGAATTTAAAATACAAAATATAACAGAGAGGAGATATATTTTCCTGTGACCGCTGCTCCGGGAAGTTGTCAAGTTGTCGGCGACAGATATCCCTACAATTACCAGTAGCTCCTGTGACCGCTGCTCCAAGAAGTTGTGCAGTTATTTGCGACGTTGTGTCTTGGATTTTTTAAAAATATAAAGTTGTTTCCCGATACTGGTATTAAATATTTTTAAGGGCCGATAACTGCCACCAGCTCCTGCAACCGCTGCTCCAGGAAGTTATACAGTTATTTGCGACGTTTAGTCCTTAATTTTTAAAAAACACCAAGATTTTTTTTTTTAATTTTGGTAAAAACTATTTTCGAGGGCCGATAACTGCCACTAGCTCCTGTGACCGCTGCTCCAGGAAGTTGTGCAGTTATTTGCGACGTTATGTCCTGGATTTTTTAAAAATATAAAGATTTATCTCCCGATACTGGTATTAAATATTAAGGCGGTCAAAATTACCGAGAAGAAATTGTTTGCTGACTGCGTTGAGTATCATATCGATATTTTGAAGTAAGTTATCAGTTATAAGTCATTATTTAGACAATAATTAGCAATATTATTTGAAAAAATTTTTGTTATATTGTATTTTTTGTAAAAAAATATTTTTAGCTTCAAATTTGCTCTAAAAAATTTAAAGAAAATTTTTGGTTTAAACTTTATTGATTATTTATCAATTTATAAATCTCAGTTTAATAAATAATAATTTAGTATTAATTATCACCAATAAATTTTTTTGATTAAAATAAAAAAATTATTTTCTTACAGAATGGTGGAAACAATGAGTCGCGTATTTGGTCCGATGATCTTCATCCAGTACTCCTTCAGTTCAATAATCCTCTGTAGCAGCGTTTACGCTCTTTCTCAAATGGTCCCGTTTTCTCTTTTTTTTTTTGTAAAAACTATTTTTGAGGGCCGATAACTGCTACCAGCTCCTGTGACCGTTGCTCCAGGAAGTTGTGCAGTTATTTGCGACGTTTAGGGGACATCCATAACATTTGCACTTTACAAAAAAAATTAGACTCGTTTCAATAATTTTCATTCTTTACAAAAAGATGTGAAATACAAAAAAATACCAAGAACCGTCATAATGTTGAAAAAATTGAAAAAAAATTTGTTGAAAATTAAAAAATAAAAAAAAAAATTTTTATCGTACTTGGCGCGCGTCATTGAGTACCCCAAATTTTTTCAGGATAAATGAACATCTTTTTAATGTTGAGAAATTTATAAGTAAGTCAACCTATGTTATTTCATAATAAGTTTTACAAAAGTTAGGTAAAATCGACATGTCATACGCAGTTATGCAAACTACTTACATGTCGATACGCATGCATACGTTGGGTCGGTTGCATTGTGAGAATTGTGTTTACTAAAAAATAAAACATATGGCCGATTAAATTGGGAAAATGCGGTGTGAGTGCCAATCAAAATGTGTTAATTACAATTTAACGAAGCAATATCAAGCTTTAATATTGCATAAGGTTTTTCATTAGAGATTAATGACGAAGCTGAAAAAAAATGAATCCAAAAATTTTATATAATTTCAGATTTCTTGAACACACCACCATATTGACAGTTGTTTTCACTAAAGATCTAAAAAAAATTTTAAAAACGAGTTTTTTCACTAAAATTGATAATTAATACACTAAGCAATGTTTTCAATGAGTTCAGTATCCTTGACTAATGAAAATCTATATAAATATATAATATTATTATATATATACAAGCGAAATCGTTTTTTCTTGAGTTGAAATTCTTCCGAAAAAATTTGGGGTACTCAATGACGCGCGCCAAGTACGATAAAAATTTTTTTTTTTATTTTTTAATTTTCAACAAATTTTTTTTCAATTTTTTCAACATTATGACGGTTCTTGGTATTTTTTTGTATTTCACATCTTTTTGTAAAAAAAAATGCGACAATTTATTTCTTTTGCTTAAAAAAAAAGTTAGTTCCAAGAAAATATTTAAAAAAATTGTGTTCATATTTTCTTCTTAATTTTCATGTTTAGAATTTTGTTTGAAAATTTTTTTTATTATAAAAATTGATCAAATCTGTTAATTTTAATATACTTTCATCATTTTTATTAAAATTAATGAAAAAAAACTCGAAAATTCTAATCTAAAAAATAAAATTACTATATCAAATATATAAAATTACCATGTCAAATATTGAAAAAACAATTACTCATTTAAATATAAAAATTACACAGAATTTTTCTCGTTTTTTTTCTTTAATTAAATTCTAATAAATTATTTCTTTTTAAATTGATGTTATTTAATTTTAAATAATTTCTCCTGATATATATTGTGGATAGGCATATGTTGATTAATCAATAAATATCAAAATTAAAAAAAAAAATTCAAATTTATTTCCAAAAAAATGTCTAATTATAATGAAAATTAATTTAGCAGATATTTGATAATTTTTAGAACTTTTTTTAACAAATAAATTATGGCAAAAAAAAATAAGAAAAAAAATTGACATGTAGAAATTTTAAAAAATAAAAAATGCAATTTTTTTAAAATAATTTATTAGAATTAATTTAATTGTTAAATAAAATAAAAAATTGGTCAAGTGACAGCTAACTTTAATGTCATCTAATTATAATAAAAAAAATTTCAAAACTCATAAATTAACCCACTAAAACCTTAAATTTTAATTTCTTCATCTCCTATCAGAAAAAAGTACAAAAATCCGGGAATCCCCAATTTCAAAATTTTAAAATTTCCCGCTCTGCCATTCAGCGCCATCTTGCGCCTTATAGTCCCATAACCACCACCAGAGACCGCCAGAAGTATCTCAGAGTGCTACAGACACAGCAGACGGCAAGCGAGAGGCTCAAAGCTTAGCACAAAAGTTACAACAAGACAGGACTACAGCATCGCTGAACACTCAGCACTCAGCACAGAGCTCGGCTGCCCGTTGTTTCCAGCCAACATTAGTGACTTAGCGTAGTTGTCAAAATGGCGAATGAAGGTGCAGCTAATGTGAATCCGAATGCCGAGATTGTGAGAGGACAGGTGTTCGAAGTCGGCCCCAGGTACACCAATCTCTCGTACATGGGCGAAGGCGCCTACGGGATGGTCGTGTGAGTACAATTATTACTTAACTATTATTATTACTTAAACATAACATAACATAACATGTTTGTCTACTCTGTGAATCATCAACTTCTCTCCCCGCCCCACAGGTGCTCGTGTTTGTGCTGGTGCTAGTGCTGGTGTCTGCATGACAAGATAAATAATTAGAGCCAACTGTCTATCAAACATCGTCCATTACTATTCAAATTTATTCACCGTTTCACAATAGTTTATACTAATAGTAATATTGTTTTATCTTCTCTTGTCATTTTATTTTTATTTCACTTCTAGGACTGCTATCTGCTGCTTGGTTCATCCGCTCCACTGTTATTTTTAATTTATCCTCGCTCTGCTGGGGAATTTTTTCCTGGTACTTGTCAGGCTTTAAACCACATCACATCCTGTTACTAAATTCCTGATAAATATTGTTAATGTCTTTATTTTTATCTAGACAATTGACAGCTTTTACTATTTTTTTTTTTTTTTTAATTAGTTGGTGATAACACAAATTATTTTTAAAAAATTCCATTCATATTTAAAAATCAAAATTTATTTATTTAGTAATAATTTATATTTATTTATTTAAAAAATCAGATATCTTGATTTCAGTATCATATTTTTTTTAATAATGAATTAATATAAATTTATACTGATATTTAAATTAACAGATAACTGAGTATTTTTATTTTTAAAAACTGTATTCATAAATCTTTCATTTTTACACATAATTTTTTTTTTTTATATACTAATTTATTTATTATAAAAATTCATAAAATTGTCGGACAATTGTCAATTTTAATATCATATTTTTAAATTCAAAACTATTATAAATTTGTAAAGAAATACTTCAATTAGCAGTCGACTGACCAGATTTTATTTTTAAATTCTGTTGATAATTTTTTTTCAATTTTTTTACAAGCATTTTATTTCATATAAATTAAATTAATTTTTAAATTAAAAATTATAAATTTATAGCAATACTGAAGTTACCAACTATTTTTTTTTTAATTATATTCACAATTTTTTTTCATTTTCACATGAATGTTTTTCTCTAAAAACTTATTTTTTATCAAATTTGTCAGATATCTGTTAATTTCAGTATCATATTTTTAACTTATAAATGATAAATTTATAGTAATACTAAAATTACCATTTTTTATCTTTAAAAAATTACACTCATATTTTTTTATAATTTTCAAATGAATTTTTTCCTTTATATTATAAAATCGATCATAAAAATTTTCATATGTCTGTTCACTTGAATATTTAATATTCTATTCATATACTGTTTACTTGTTGATATTATCAACGAAAAGGTGTCAAAAAATATCGACTAGATAAGCCGACATTAAAGTTAGCCGACATAAAAATTTTTTTCAGAAAAAACAAAATTACTTGTGTATTAATTTTTTATCAATTATATTTTAATATATTTTTTAATATTAAAATATATAAAGTAATATTAAAAATTAATCAATGTCTTTTAGCTTTAAAATCATAAATTTTACATGAAAATTAATTTAGCAGATATTTAATAATTTTTAGATTGGTAACGAATAAATTTTGCCAAAAAAAAATATTTTTTAAATTAAAATTGCAATTTTTAAAAAATAATTTTTTAGTAACAAATTTCGGCTGCCCAATTTCAAAATACAGTAACTGATAATTTAAAAATTTTTCTTATTAAAAAAAATTTGCGCGCCAAATTGGTAAAAAAATTTGATCTATAAATAGAAAATACTTAAATATAAATATTTTTAAGAAAAAATACTTGAAATTAGATCTTAAAGTTATAATAAATGTAGCAATACTAAAAAAAATCAGGTATAAAAATTTTGCAGTTACTGCACTGAAAAAAAAAAATTAACGTGATTTAAGAGGAAAATTCTTGTACTAAGAAAATAATTTTGAAAAGGGTAAAATTCTCTAGAATCAAGACGAAAAATTCTTGAATCAAGTAAAATTTACTTAAACCAAGTAAAAATTTCTTAGTTTAAGAATTTTTTTATTCAAATCAAGAAGATGAAGTTCTTCAAAATTCCCTGATTAAAAAATCTAATTTAAAATGATTTAAATACTATATAGATATACAATTAACATGAAGCTAATCATTTCAAATCATCTTTCTGAATCATGGTTGTATACTTAATTCAAAAACATTTTTTCTCTGTGTTTTAAAATTGGACAGCCGATTTGTTTGTTAAAAAAAATTAAAAAATGATCAAAGTTTAACGTCATAAATTTTACAATTTTTTTTTTTTTAATTCAACTAATAAAAATTTATCATTCTATTAATAAAAAAACATTATTAAATTAATAATAAATAATGTTTCAGGTCGGCTTATGACAACGTAACAAAAACAAAAGTGGCGATCAAAAAGATATCACCATTTGAGCATCAGACCTACAGCCAGAGGACGTTAAGGGAAATAAAGATCCTCACGCGATTTCGGCATGAAAACATAATAGACATAAGGGACATAATACGAGCACCGAGTATCGATCAGATGAAAGACGTCTACATAGTTCAGTGTCTTATGGAGACGGATTTGTACAAACTATTAAAGACACAGGCGATCAGCAACGACCACATATGCTACTTTCTCTACCAGATTCTCCGCGGGCTGAAGTACATCCACTCAGCAAACGTCCTCCACCGGGACTTAAAGCCCAGTAACTTGCTCCTGAACACCACCTGTGACCTTAAAATCTGCGACTTCGGGCTGGCCAGGGTCGCAGATCCGGACCACAACCACGCGGGCTTCCTCACGGAGTACGTAGCTACAAGGTGGTACCGAGCCCCGGAGATTATGCTCAACTCCAAGGGTTACACCAAGTCTATAGACATCTGGTCTGTCGGCTGCATCCTCGCTGAAATGCTGTCGAGGCGCGCTATATTTCCTGGTAAACACTACCTGGATCAGCTGAACCACATCCTGGGGGTTCTGGGCTCGCCTTCTGCTGAGGACCTTGAGTGCATCATCAATGAGAAGGTTATTTAGTTTTATTAATTTTATCGCGGTGAATTGTGAAGATGATTAATGATGATGACGATAATGGATTGGAGATTGGAGATTGTTGATTGTTGATTGTTGATTGTTGATGGATGAGGGAAGGGGAAAAGATGCTTGAGTGGTTAGTCATATTTATTTATTTATTTGCAGGCAAGGAATTATTTACAATCGTTACCGTACAAACCCAAGGTACCCTGGACTTGTTTGTTCCCCAATGCAGATCCACGAGCGCTGGATTTGCTTGATAAAATGCTGACGTTTAATCCTAATAAGAGGATTGTTGTTGAAGATGCACTTGCACATCCCTACCTCGAGCAGTATTATGATCCCGCTGATGAGGTAATTATTTTTTTTTTTTATGAAAATTCCACATATCTGGTAATTAAATAGATAAAAAATTTTATTGATTCTGGAACCTAAGCTCCCTCAGAGCTATCAGTATTTAATACGTTGGTTTGCATTTTTATATAATACAACTCAGTACAAAATTACTTAACAATTAAGGGCTTACAATTAAATTTAATTTTAAATTTTAGTAAAACAAAGATATATCAAGTAATACGAATAAGTAAATTGAAGATAACATAGAAAATAATACTTTCAATTTTTAAATTTAAAATTTTTACATTTTAATTTTAAATAAGATTTTTTGGATAGATTTCATAAAATCTATCTATTGCATTGGCCCTTGGGTCACAATTCACATAGAATTTTGTTACTATATTAATTATTTAGTTGAGTAGGGCTTAAGAATGACATTGAGTCGAATCGCGTTATGAGTCCGGCTTGTTTTCTTTGTTTTTTAACCAGACTCGTGTTAATAAGAGAGAGACACAAGGAGGGCTCATAACGCGACTCGACTGTATATATAGGTATGTATTATAACGCGCGGTTTGTGAAGACGATAACTCCCAGAATTCTTAATGAATCTTCCTGAAACTTGGTAGACTCATTATACAGCCAATTAGCTTGAATGAGTTGAAAAATGAACTAAATCCATCAAATAGTTTAGGAATGGCAACCATTTGAAATTTTCGAAAATGTAAAAAATAATATTTATTCATTAGCCATCGCTATTCTTTCGTACAATAATTGATAAATTTTTACATTTAATGAAAATATTTATAATATAATATTTATGACAAATTCACATCTTTAGTACATATTTTTGATTTATAAAAATCATGTTTGGTGACTTTAATAGGGAATAATTTTTCATTATTATGTTTCAAAATTGGACAGCCGATTTACGTTTCTTATAAACTTGAAGGATAATAATTATTATTAATATTGTCATTAAAATCATGGATTATATCAAATCTACCTTCCATCTTGGCGGATGTCGAATGGCCTTATTTACCATTAAAATTGAAAAATTTAATTATTCTTTCTTTTTTAGTGCGGTAGATTTTTGAATATTATTAATCAAAAAAGTTTTTTTGACATAGTTGTTCAATTGGAAAGATAAAAAATACAGACTTGATTTTTTTTATATATTAATTTTTAGTGGGAAACTATTATTTTTAAATTATTGATCGAATGTCAAAGTTTACAAATTTTTTAAAAATTCATAAAAAAATTTTTAAATCATATAAAATTTTTTTTAGTGTTTGATTTTTTATTCTTTAAAAAAAGGTATTTTAAAAATTGACGCTTGGAGAATTTTAATTTTTAAACCGTCAAAAGATAAATAAACTTTTAATAAATAATTCGTAAGTTTGCCAATAAAAAAATAAAAATTTCAATTTAAAAAAATGATACAGCTCTTATTCAAACAATTGCAGTAATGAAATTTAAAAAAAAAATTTTTTTCACGTACTTATAAACATTTATAAAACTCTGATCAGATGTCTGCAATTTAAAAAAAAACTTTCGTATATTTTTAATATACTTTTATTGAAATATCTTAAAAAACTCACCTGGATATTTTTTTATTATTACACATTCTATTTATAAAATGTTTCCATTGATTATGGCTGATAATTATAGTTATTATCAACTTGTTCTGAGAAATTGTCTTTACTTGTCTTTTACAATGTGCAGCAAGTCATTTTTCATATAGAATATTTTTACAAGTATCAACTAAATAATAACGCATTTATTATCAATTTAAATATCAATGCATACTTCTCCGAAAGTCTTTTAAAGAAAATATGTTCTCAATAAAATTCAATCGGTTATTAAAATTTAACGAGATCCATCTTGCATTCAATAAAAATATTATATAATCAATATCATAAAAAAATTATCATTATTATTATTAAGAACTGACAAATCAAATAAAATTTTATAGCAAATTATTTTTTAAAAAAGCTATGTTTGATAAAAATCTTGCAAAATTTATTTTATCAATTTTACGATTAGTTATTTTAAGTTTATTTGTCTAATGTTGGAAATTACGGTTAATTTAACTCGTGTTGAAATTGGGGCTTCTTAATGAAGGTATAAAGTAGTTTTTATAGCTTTACCGATTTAATTGATGATATTTATTGCTTATTTTTAATTACCTGATTCTGGCGTGTTAAAAAATTTTTTTTAATGATTAAAAATTATTTTATAAATTAAATAAATAAATGATGCAATTTAATTAAACTTTTATAAAAATCTAAATTAATATATAAGGCAAAAGACCCAGTTATTGACACTGGCCTAGTTATTGACACTTGCAATTTTATTTTAATTAAAAAAAACAAATTAACTCTAATAAATTAATAAATACTAGCAACCTTGCAGTCACTATGTGACTGCCGTGACTTGTGAAATATAAATAAATGAAATTTTGCTTTATTAAATGATGACTTTTGTTAAATTGCACTGTACTTTTTTAATTATTGACATTTTTTAAGATTTAAACTCATCTCGATGTTACACTCATCAAGAGCTTTCATTTGAGTACCCACATGCATTTTTGATATATTTTTCATATATACATATATATAATATATATAATTATATGAAAAATTGATGTGGGTACTCAAATGAAAGGTCTTGATGAGTGTAACATCGGGATGAGCTTATATCTTTAAAAATGTCAATATTTCACGAGATACAAGGTCATTTCTTCATTATGTATCTAGAGATAGAGCATTAAAAATTTATTTTATCAAATAAACACACTGGCCACAAAATTTTGCTATATATATATATATATGAAAAATTGATGTGGGTACTCAAATGAAAGCTCTCGATGAGTGTAATGTCGCGGTGAGCTTATATCTTTAAAAATGTCAATAGTTCACAAAATACAAGGTCGTTTCTTAATTATGTTAACTTGCACTGTACTTTCTTAACTATTGAAGCTTTTAAAGACATAAGCTCATCCCGATGTTACACTCATCAAGAGCTTTCATTTGAGTACCCACATCAAATGAAAGCTCTCGATGAGTGTAATGTCGCGGTGAGCTTATATCTTTAAAAATGTCAATAGTTCACAAAATACAAGGTCGTTTCTTAATTATGTTAACTTGCACTGTACTTTCTTAACTATTGAAGCTTTTAAAGACATAAGCTCATCCCGATGTTACACTCATCAAGAGCTTTCATTTGAGTACCCACATGCACTTTTGATATATTTTTCATATATACATATATATAATATATATAAATATATGAAAAATTGATGTGGGTACTCAAATGAAAGGTCTTGATGAGTGTAACATCGGGATGAGCTTATATCTTTAAAAATGTCAATAGTTCACGAGATACAAGGTCATTTCTTCATTATGTATCTAGAGATAGAGCATTAAAAATTTATTTTATCAAATAAACACACTGGCCACAAAATTTTGCTTATTCTCTCAATAATATGGATAATTTAATTAAATTTTTATAAAAATTTTAACTTACATAAATAAAAAAATACTAAAATTAATTTTTTTTTCAGCCTGTAGCGGAAGAACCATTCAGATTCGATATGGAGCTAGATGATCTTCCAAAAGAAGTTCTAAAGCAGTATATATTCGACGAGACCGCACAGTTCGCTGAAAACCACCGGGATAATCCAATGTAGTGAACTACACTTTAAAATAAAAAAAACGGGACAACCTTGATCATCGGCGTAAACTTATCAAATTATTTATAAGATTGTGTTTAAATTAAATTGATAAAAAAAAAAAAAAAATCGAGAATGAATGAAGTGATTATAATTAGTCAGTATCAATATCAGAATCAGGCACAGTCTAAAGTTTTAAAGTTTTACCAAGCGAGCGACGAAAACCGGGTGATTATGGTCAAAGATGATCAATTTAATTAACTTTTTATATTATTGATTACAATTACTAATTGAAGGTCTCTTCTCTCATCTATCATCAGTTCCCGATCTCGTCCCACTGAGATGCCGCGCAAAGCAACACCGCGATGTCCAGTTGCATAATATTAATTTGTATGATACAAAACAATTATAGTTTTAACTCAACCAATATTATTTTATCCAGTCATAGCTCTAGATTACGTATCAGTTAATATTAACAACAATATTTAGTTATTAATTATTATATTAATTATAGTTAGTAGTTATTATTATTATTATTATAAAAAAAAAAATACATCAGCCGATAATACCGATTAATTGTTATTCCAAACATCTGTCTGTGATTATAATCTCAAGCAATTACGTGATCGGTACGTCGATGTGAGAATATTATTTAAATAATGATTAATGAGAGAAAGATTTGAGAGAATGATTATTATTTATCATAATTAAGGGGGTATTCTGGTTTACACGGAAAGAACAAGACAATCTAGATTTTTCCAGCTACTATCTGAAATTTTTTTTCACTACAGATATCACTGAGTATAATCTAGGATGACATCCAGTGTCATCTTGTTCTTTTCGTGCAGAAGCATGAAATTTCAAGTAATTTTTGAAGTGCCGTAAAAAAAAAGACAATCAATATTTTTACTATCCGTTTTTTTTTATTAGTTATTTATTAACATTATAAGAATACAGAAAAAAATTAAAAAATAAAAGAAGTTGAAAATTCGAAAAACTTGCAACTGATAAAGTGAAGGGGGGTCTCAAAAAATTGGCACGTGACTATACCCACGATTCCAACCCTCCTAGCAATCGGAAACAAAAAAATAAAATAGAGTATTAATCTAGAGTAATGTCGCTATAATTGGAACGGTAATTGAAAAAAATAGACTTGGAAAAAATTTTAAAGTTATGACAAATTCATATTATTTCATTAAAATTATTATAAAATAAAAATAATAGTAATAATAATTGTATCACACCGACAATTTTCCTGAAAAACAAGCACCCCCAAAATGATCGCTGCATTTTTTATTACAAAAAAATATTATTATTATTTCTAAGAACCAAAATCAGGATATAGTAGACCAAAAAATTTATGTTTTACTTTTTATTTATTTCAATTAAGTAAATATCCTTATAATCTCCTTAAAATATCCTTATATCCTGATTTTGGTTCTTAGAAATTGGTATTACTTAGACCTGAACTAATAAATAATAATAATAATTATTATTATTTTATAATAATTTTAATGAAATAATATGAATTTTTCATAACTTAATTTCAAAGCAGTCGCCATTATATGAAAAAAATTTTTTTTCAACTTTTCCGCAATTTTATCCATACTTTTATCAGCTACTAATTTTTTTAATTTTTTTCTGTATTCTTATAATATTAATAAATAACTTATAAAAAAATATACAATAAAAATATTGACTGCCTTTTTTTTAGGCACTTAAAAAATTACCTGAAATTTAATGTTTCTAGACCAGAAAACCCCCTTAAAAATAAAAATCTAAATTTACAATCATGAACAATAAAAAATGGCATTTAGCGTGTACTCTTGTCGCTGGGACATTTATTTGCATTTTATCGTTAAATTTCGATGATCCAAGGATTGTATTATTTTATAATAATTCAGTTTATTAAAAAAAAAACAGTATATATATATTATAAATATAAATAAAAAATTAATTTAATTAAATGTATATGTAATATATGTATGTGTGTGTATTAATTTAAAAATATACACACATATATTTAAAGATTTTAAATGTAACTGCTGACTAAGCGTCAAGTTTTATCCAAAGAGATGCCTCGATATCATCGGACGTTGTGTGAATGCCTGGAGTGTGTTAAGAGAGATTAATTAATTGATTATTAGCAGTGTAATGATGAATGATAATTATGGTTTGAGATAATTAGTGTGAAAGAAGATATAGAGAGCAGTTTTTAGCTATTTCCATTATTCAATTCCATATTTACAAATAATCGCGCAAGCTATTGTAAATCTTGTTAATGTATATTACAAATATTATATTATTATTAATTAATTTTTATTGTAATTCTTAAAATTTCGAGATTTATTTAACTTCGTGTTCTTCCAATTTTAAATTCAGAATTTGTTTTTTAAAAAAAAAAAAGTTCAATAATAATATTATTCGCTCGCAAGGTCATTTATAAATATGAAGGTAATCATTCTCGCGTTTATCGAGTTACTCGTGCGACAATTATTCGCTCAAAGCGACCGCAACATGAATAATTTTATTATTTATGAGCAATAATTAGAAGAAATTAATTTTATCGATATAATAACGATATCTGGCCTAATATACTTAAATTAAATTTAAAAAATGTTGTGTATTTGTTGTTGTTGCTAAATCATATCGAGATTTTTCTCTTTAAAATTGAGTGTTATGCATGTCTGGAATTTTTTTTTTTTAACAATATGGCTCTTAGATGGCGCCACCTACCCTCTAACCTCATTCCAAAGGTTTAACCGCAGAACAATGTATGAATAATTAAATATAATGCAAGCAATAGTTAAAAAAAAGCTCAAATTTATAATTATACTACGTTGGAGATTAAAAAAAATATTATTTGCAATTGTTATTAATTATTAGTTGATTAATATTTAATAAAAAAGTCTTGAGGTGGGAATTGTGATTCAAGATGGCCGACTGGTAACAATAGAGTTTTAAATTGTTGAGGTTATGGCTGTCTAAGAAACATATTAGGAAAAAATTTTAAGAAATGCGCAACACTCGAAAAAATTAATTAAATTTTGGATAACTCCGAAAATAATCTTCCATTGAGTAAATAAAATAATTATTAATAAATTTAATAATTATTTTATTGATCCAGCTGCATTCATAGAGTTTTAAAAGATTGAAATTTTAAAAATTTTTATTAAAGAAAAATAATAAAAAGTTACTTGAACTGTAATGAGTTATGGTAAAAACAAAAAAAAAATAACCAGCCAACTCGTTAAGACTAAACCAACGTGCTGCCTTCGTAATCTTTAATTACTCGGACTTGTATTAATTTAACAAAAAAGTTAATGGGTAGTATTGATTATTGATAATTGATAAATTAATAATAAACACTCAAGTTCAGATATTAAATTGTTGTCAGTAAAAAAAGAAAACCTGTGAGTAATTAGTTTTTAAAAAAAATATGTGACGTTTAAAAAGGAAAAAAAAAATATCTGCTTTTTAAGCTTGTTAGTGTAAAGAAGAAACGAAAGTAGCAAGTCAATGATCAAAGTTAACTTGAGTACCTTGAATTATAACTTATAAAAATGTTTATAATTGTAATTGTAATGATTATTTACTTGCCCATGTCAATATTTAATAAAACAATTCAAATCTTCATTTTTTTCAAGACTAAGTAGATTTTTGTAGAAGCTTGTGTGCGTGAGATTAAGTAAGTTTATTGTTAACAAATAATAACTAAACAGACAGAATATCAAAAAATAATTAAGTATTGCGTGGCAAGTGCCAAAAGGGTGTATTACAGCAGTTGAATAGGGTTTTTTTGCTAAAAGGGTGGATAAATAATTTTTTTTTGCCATTTAATTTAAAATCGTTCAGATATAAAGATCAATGAAAAAATTTTTTTTTAATTATTAAAATAAAAAAGAGTTTAAAAAAATTTTTCTTAAGAAGGGCGGAGAAAAAAATATTATATTAAATGGTAATTTAAATTAATTTAATTTTCATTTTTTTGAACGAAATTTTTATTTGATTTTATTGATATATTTTTTTTAAATATATAAAAAAATGAACAATTTAAAAAAAAAATTATTGCAATTTTAACAAATTTTCAAAAAAATTTATAAATTTTTTAGAAAATTGTGATATTCAGCTTTTTTTATATTGTTCGTTTTTATTATGTACTTTTAAAAAAAAAAGTATATAAAAAAAAGATAAAATAGAAATTTTAAGTTAAAATATTAGTCAAAATTTTTTCCAACTCTAAGAGATGATTGTTTTTAATGAAATATTATTTTTTTGATATTTTCGAAATTCCTACCATAAATCCGCTATAAAAACAATGAAGTTAAATATAATTATGATGATCTATCAATTTATCTATTTTTTATAGCCAAAAATAGGTTTGACTCCACGTATAATTAATTACCAAATTTTTTTTGCCATTCAACTCAAAATCGTTCAAATGTAAAGATCAATAAAAAGAATTTTTTTTTAAATTATTAAAACCAAAAAAGGCGTTATTCAAGATTTGCGTCCTTTTGGCTTTAAAAAAAAAATTGAGGTAATTATTTACAAGTGGGGTCTACCATATTTTTGGCCATATTTAGGAGAAAAACTAACATTTTCAAATTTTTTTTATTCTGCTTGTTTTTACGGCGCAATTATGATAAAAAATCTCGTGAAAGAAACAAATAAAGATTTTGATAGCTTTTTTGTCTTCAAAAGTTGGAAAAAATTTTGGCTCTTATATTTTTCGATAAAATTTCTATTTTTTCTTTTTTGACATATTTTTTTTTTTAAATACATAAAAAAAACGAACAATTAAAAAAAAAAAGGTTAAATATCTAAATCAATTAATTTTCTAATTAATTAATTAATTAATTCTAAGTTAATTTTATAAAAAATTTGTTTAATTGTGAAACAACTTTTTTTTTATTGTTAATTTTTTTGTGTATTTAAAAATATATTTAAAAAAATGAAAATAAAATCGTTGACCCCATTTGTAAATATTTACCAAATTTTTTTTAATTATTAAAATCAAAAAGACGTATTTCAAAATTTGCGCCTTTTTGGCTTTAATAAAAATTGATGTTTTATCACACAACGGTCACAAAAAGCTTGAAAAATAAAATTAGATCAAAATCATACTCAGGATCTGAAATTTTAGTTTTAAATTAGTAAATTTTCAAATTTTTGAAGCCAAAAGAGCGTATATTTTTAGACATGTGCTCTTTTGGCTTTAGAAAAAATTTTTTTTTTCATTTTTAAGCTTAGAATATACTTGCAAAAATTTTCAAAAAAAAATATTAAACGCCCTTTAGGCTTACAAAAATTTTTTTTTTCATTTTTAACCTTAGAATATGTTTGCAAAGTGATTAACAAAAAAAAAAAAAAAAAATAAAATACTTCCACTTGGCATTTGTCACACGATATGTTATGTTACATTACATTAGCACAATGGGATTCTTTTTGTTTAATTAAATACTAGACTTGCCCAATTAAATTTATAAGCTAAGTTTTTATTTAATATTTGTATCAATCTATGAATGTAGCTTATATATATATATATTTAATATTTAATTAATTAAAATACTATTAATTGATAAACTCGTACGTTTGAAGGCACAAGTGTCGATCTTTAAAAAAAAAAAAAAAAAAAAAACAAATTACTATTTAAATGAACTCATCTTTTTGTCAAATGTTCGTTAATAAATGTAAATGTGTATGTATTTAAAAAGAAATAATTATTAATGTATTGAAGATATAAAAAAATGAATGACTTAAAAGTATTATTGTCCTAATAAAAAAAGGCTTTATTGGCCGATAATCAAAGTTTCATTGTTTCCCATATCCTCGTTTGTTTTATTGCTAGGATTTAAAGCAGAGCAGGGTTTATTTATTTATTTATTTATTAAGGCAATTTTATTGTAAAAAAGTTATTTGCCTTTTCGTTTGACAGTTAAAATTAAATATTAGTATTTATATGTTCAATTAATTATAATTATAGTTGTCAACAATCGTTGTAATTATTCCGAGTCACTTTCTTCAGCGTACTTGTCGTTTTTCACCTCTATTCTCAGGGGAGATCTTCCTCTGTTGTGGAATCCCAGTCGAGATCTCAGGTCAGCTTTTATTACGCTTTTCACTTCATTTCTGTAATTAGAAATAATTATTTAATGTAAGTAGCATTGGAAAATTTATTACAATAGTTTAACAAAATTAACTTATTTTATTTTTTATAGTCTAATCTTAATTTAGACTGATAGAATTTATTAACTGTTGATAAATTAATTTATTTAGAGACAATTTGTTCATTTATTAAATGTAACTAAATATTTTTTATCTATTAATAAATTTTTTTTGGAAAAAAAGTACATTTATTAATTGTTAAGAAATACTTATTATTAGTTAAAAAATATTTATTAATAATTCTGATTTAATGGAATTTTCTATTGAAGCTATGAGAGTATAAAAAGTGTCAAAATTTAATTTTCAATTTTTGATTTTTTATCCAAGAGTTGAAACATATTTTTTTTTAACAATTGATAAATGTTTATTAACCGTTAGCAATTATTTATTATAAGTTACAATAAATCGTGTTTAATAAACGATCTGTTAACTGTTGATAAAAATTTTTTAATTATTATTAGATTTTTATTAATAGCTAAAAAATATTTCAGTAAATATTTACAAGTGGGGTCAACCATTTTAATTTTCATTTTAATGAATGAAATTTCTATTTGATTTTAATGATATTTTTTTTTGAAAAATACATAAAAAAAATGAACAGTACTTTTAAAAAAAATTATATATCAATAACATCAAAAAAAAAAAAAAAATAAAATAGAAATTTGATCCAAAATTCTTTCAAGTTTTGAAGGAAAAAAAAGCTATCGAAATCTTCATTTTTTTTTCACAACATTTTTTATCATAAATGCGCCGTAAAAATAAGCGGAATAAAAAAAAAATTTTTTAAATGTTAATTTTTCACCTAGTTATGCTCCAAAATATGGTTGACCCCACTTGTAAATAATTACTAATATTTCTTAACATTCAAGTAATTTTGTTGTTTACGGTGCAATGTAAAGATCTATAAACAAACTATCCATAACTTTTTATAATAGAGATAAGATCCACTAATAATTTTAATTTTTTATTATTACTATACTTTTTAGACTCATTTTATTTCTTCAATATTTTTATTAGAAAATAATAAAATTAATGATTCTGGTGGAATTATATATTGAAGCTATTAAGTTTTTAAAAAGTATCAAAGTTTAATTTTTATCTAAAAAAATTTTCCATTAAAAATGAATAAATATTTATTAACTGTTAATAAATAATTTATCAACTACCATTATTCTTCAATCATGTTATGTTCTCTTTAATACATTCTATGTTTATTTTGTCTATTTTGTTCATTCTATGTCTATTTTAACCTTAAACTGATTTAAATATTTTCAAATAAATAATTCTGTGTTTTGATTTGAATGAGTTGTTATTTATTGGTGGAAATTTTCTTACCTCATTATAACGAATCGAGTTTAATCTAACCTCTATATAACAAACCTCATTATTACGAATTATTTGATATAACGAATAATTTCTATTTCCCTTGAGTTTCGTTATATCAAGATTGCACTGTATTAATAAATATCAAATCACCTAATTAAAAAAAAAAAAAAATATAATTCAAAAATAAAAAATCCAAATTACCTTTCAGAACTATTCTTCTCTTCATTATTCAACCTAGCCCAAACAGTAGAAGCAACCCTAGGTTTCGGCCGCGTAATAACCTTAATAACACTCCCCTTAGGACCTTGAACTTCCTTCTCCGAGATGTCGCTGCTATCAGAATCCGATTCCTCCGGTTCCTGCACCGGTTCCTCATCTTCCCACTCTCCTTCTTCCTTATCCTCCTCTTCCTCCTCTTCTTCATTCTCCTCCACCTCCTCAACCTCTTCCTCCTGTTCTTCCCCCTCCTCTTCCTCCTCCTCCAAATGCAAATTCTTCCCATACTCCAGATTAGTAACAGTAACTCTAATAGGCTCATGATAAACCGCAGGTTTTCCCCTCCCTAACCTGGACCTCAAATCAGTTCCCTGAACCTTATCCTGCATCTTGAGCTTCATTTGCGTGAGCCTTTTCTTCTGAACCTTCTCCTCCTCATCATCAGCGTGCATCCTCATCCTAAGAATCTTGTTCCTCTTGTTCCAGCCATCATCACTGTCGCTGTCGCTCTGACTGGCGCTGTCTTCACTCTTATCCTCAACAGTCTGCACCACATTTATATTCATAACCTTGCTTTTAACCTTGCCCTCCCTCTCCGTTCCTTCAATCACCTGTTCCTTGGCTCTGACTCCAAGCCGTTCCTTAATTCCGGTTCTCTCCACCAGAGGTCGCTCGCGCTGATAAACTTCAACGGGGTCATTACTTCCCCAAGCTTCCGACAAAGAACCCCAGGGATTTTTGAAGCCCTCCTTAAGAGCTTCCTTCTCTTCTTCCTGCCAATTAACGTCCCTGTACTTCCGCTTCCTGGACTGGGTCAGAATCCCCTTAATCCCGCCATAATTAGGGTTCCCGTGTTTTTTATAATACTCACTCATTTTTTCCGCATTCGCGGGCTTCTTATCCGACGTAGTAGCGAACCTCAGCAGCACTGTCTTGGATTTTGCGCACTCTACGCCTTTTCTCCAGATTCCTGGAGGGAGAGGAAAATCAATGTCCTTGATACTAACCGCTGGCTTCTTTTCAAGGCCCTCCATTGCATCATCCTCTTCCTTGGCCGGCTCCTTGGAGGTTATGCGCTTGGACAAGCCTATCAGCGCCCTGGCGGCGGAAATTTTGTCCAGCCAGACGACGTTGCAAGAAATGTCGTTGATCCACTCGATAGAAGCTGGCGCGTAGTCCTTAAAATAATCAAACACGTCTTGTGTACTCATGTTGTCCGTACCTCGCATGTGCAAAGTGTTGAACCTCGTGTACTTGGCGCTCTCGTCACTCTCAGAGACTCCCATGCTCTCGTATAATTCTTCCTCGTCCTCTACGTCCAGTTGACGGGCATTTTCTTTCATTCCGAAGCGCTTCGCGCGCTCTTCTAGCTTTTGCTGCTCCTCTTTGCTGAATATGTCTATCCCGGTCGTAAATGCGCCGCTTTTATTTTCATATTTAGGTTGCTGGGATAAATAAATTTTAATAAAAAAAAAAAATTTTTAGTAAAAAAATTTTTTTGTAAATAAAAAAATAAATAATAATAATTTGTTAAACTTACCACTGTTAAATTGTTAGCTAATAAATTACGTTTTTGTATCAGAGTATCTAAATCTGTGTTTACATCGTCTGAGGCTTCAATATAAGAGTCTGTGTCCATCGGCCCGGAGACTTCAGCCATTTTTTTCACTATTTTATTATTATTCAATATTAATATTTACAATTACTATCTTTTTTAACTCCTCATTTATTTGTTTACTAATTTATTTTCGGGTGTTAATTTTAAGGTTAATAATTAGATGTTTTTTTTAGAGGAAGGTTTTTAATTTTACCGCCAGACAGCGCGCTAGTGCTCAGCGCGGGAAATTTAAATCTTAAAAATATTTTGAATTTTTTTTTAATTAGAAATCATTTTTTTTATGATTACACTTAAATAAAAAGTAAGTTAGAGTTTTGAAAGTTTTTAGAATTTGTTTTTCTATTGAAAAAGTTATTATAAAAAAATAAAATAATTTTCATTTATAAAAAACTGTAAGTGCAATTTTTATAAAATATTTTTTTGTTCTCATTTAATTATTGAAAATATTAAAAAATTAAAAACGTCGGCTAACTTTAGTATTATTACACTTAAGTTCTAATATTTTTTATTAAAAAAATTTTAAAATACAGTGATTTATTATAATTATAATTGTTGTTATTATTATTTATAAATTTAATGATAAAATTTGATATTAATATTACAATTTAAGAAATTTTTATTTGTAAGATAATATATTTACTTATACTAAATCAATTAAAAATTAACAATTACAATTGAAAATTTTTAAAAATCAATTCTTTCTCTTATAATAAAAAAGTTCCCGAGAATATTTTTAATTTATTCATAAATTGCATTAAAGTTATACCAAGTTCTTAAAATATTTCTAATTATTTAATTTTTAATTTTTTCTAGTATACAATTCGTTTAAAAAAACAATTTTTAATTTAATTTTTTACAAATCAGCCATTTATTAGAATTAATTTTCCAAACGATATTTTTGTTATTAAAAACAGATTTATATAATTTTATTATTCTTATATTAACACAGGAAAAAACTTTAAAAAAAACAGTTTGAAAAATTCGTCCTTACCAAATAAAAGGTAAAGGACCCAATTATTGACAATGTCCTAGATTTGTTTTACACTTGCAATTTTATTCTAATTAAAAAAATAAAATGTTCTTAAAAAAAACAATTATACTGAAATTTATAATTCAAAAATTATATTTATTAATTTATTATAGTCGAATTGTTTTTTTTTAATTAAAATTTTGGGTCTTTTGGGTCTTTTACTTTATCTTCTAAAATTTTATTTTTGTATAAGAATTAATCCAGCCGATATTTATTATTAATTTTTAGAATTTTTTTAACAAATAAATAATCGCAAAAATAAATGAGAAAAAAAAATTAACATGTAGAAATTTTAAAAAATTATAAATGCAATTTTTTAAAAATAGTTTTTCAATAAAGATTTATTTATGAAATAAAATTAAAGAATTATTAAGTGACTGCTAACTTTAATGTCATTATTTTTTTTTTATTTCTTTTTTAAAAAAAATTCAAGTAAACTATTATAAAGTTTCCGTAATTAATCATATTTTAATTTTCAAAAACTTAATTTTTTTAATTTCAAAATTTATCCAAGCCGTAATTATAAAAATAAAATTTTTGAAAGTACCCTTAACTTAAAAAATTTTCCGTCAGATAGCGCGCAGTGACCTTGAGCGGGGGAATTTAAACTCCCTGTCAAAAGTTATTTAAGCGCGCGCTAAGTGGTGTCCGTAATCACTTAGGTAATAATAAGTTATTTACTATTTACATTAGTGCTTTCATTTCGAAACTGTTAATAACATTCAAACTACCAAGTCAAATATTACAAAGCTCTATAAATAGATCCTAAAATAATAAAGTGCTAAAACTGATAATTTTCAAGATAAACACTTCTCATTTGGACCAACATTTAGTGATTTACTGCCTGTGAGTAAACACGTTAATTATGAGCTCTTTTTTTATTCCCAAAAGTAGTAAAGTATACTTTTATTTTTCTTTCTCTTAGGTATGATCTGACATGAAGAAATTGTATCCAAGCTGACGACAGGTTATTATATTTCTGCAACAAAAATACATATCAAGTGTTGGCATTAATTCTAAATACTTCTGAGTATAATTTATATATATCTTACAGTCTATTGTCCATTGAGTCAATTGCCGAGATCAAATAAATTGACGCAGATTATTAAATTTTAATTAGTTAATTAAAAATTATAATATGGAGCTATCTGATGTGGTGAGTGCAATAAATCACGATTCCAATAATCGATACCATAAATTCAAGTTCATTATCAGTTTAATATTCAAGGTTCTCGGTGATTATTCTAAAGTTACATTTTCTTAATCATTTTTTACTCCAATTATGTAATATAATTGTTTTGTATAGTTGGAAAAAATTATTACAATAAATTTATTCTATAATTCTATCGAAATAATTGCGAGAACTGATGAATATTAATTTAACGCAATACACAAAACATTATTAGTCTATTTCATGTTTTTTATCTAAGGAACTCAAGGCTAAGTAATTACCGATAATAGCATAAGTAAGTAATGAGTAATTTTTATCTTTCAGTCAATGGGCAACACCGATAATCCTCAGGAGAAAGAAAAACCTGAGAGACCCACGGGACTCACTTATGGAATCGATGACGCGCCTCCTTGGTATCTCTGTCTTTTTATGGCGCTTCAGGTAAAAATAATCTGAAAAAAATATAAAAATGTCAGATCAAGTCTAAACTAAATAAATTTATTTAAAATCAAAATTTTGATACATTAAGATTAGAAATTTACTTACTGTCCTTTATTACTAGTTAAAAACAGGTTATGGGCCCAGGCCCGGAGTATATAAACGAAAGAATTTGATAATTTAAGAAATTAAGTTATTAAAAAAAATTTTTTTTATACTATTCTTCATTGTGAATTTACCAGTTATTTATTAAGAGTTTAAACATTTTTTATTCATATTTTATTCGGAGTTTGAAAGTAAAAAAAAAATGCCTGATTGTTTCATTTTTTGCTGATATTATTCAAAAATTAATTTCTAGAGTACCATACTATTCTTTTTTATTGTAGTTTTTTTAAAAAAAAAAATAAGAAAATGTAACATCAACATTGGTCTAAAAAAACTTATACTAAGAGCCAGTTTTTCAATCAAAGATAAAATTTTATAGAATCCTAAAATAATTTATTTTATTAATTGATTTCATAAATGAAGATATATATTTTTTTTTTTTGTATATATTTCATAAGTGAAGATATACTGACGATAATAATTTTATTCTGGATAAAATTTTATCCCGGATCAAAAAACTGGTCCTAAGAATCACAATTTTGATACCTAATTGTTAAAAATTTACTTACTGTCTTCCATTACATCAAAAATTAAAATTAATTTAGCGATATTTAATAATTTTAATAATATTTTTAACAAAAAGAAAAAACAATTGAAATGCAGAAATTTTAAAAAATAAAAAATGCAATTTTTTGAAAATAATTTTTCGGAAAAAAATTGTTTGTTAAATAAAATAAAAAAATTGTTAATGTCATACATTAAAAAACAGGTTATGGGCCCAGATCCAAAAAAAATACTCTATGCAATATTTAAATTTTCATTAATTAAACATGAATGATCCTAAAACACAAAAAATTGTCATTAAAAAATTTTAGATATTAATTAATAAAAAAATGAAATATTTCAGCATTACCTTACGATGATCGGAGCAATTGTGTCAATTCCCTTCATTCTGACTCCAGCGCTATGCATGGCGGAAGACGATCCGTCCAGGAGTTACATAATCTCGACGATGATATTCGTCACCGGCCTGGTGACAATGCTCCAGACTACGTTCGGGTGCAGACTTCCGCTGGTCCAAGGTGGAACTATATCCTTCCTAGTTCCTACATTGGCGATTCTGAGTCTTCCGCAGTGGAAGTGTCCTCCAGAGGAAGAGCTAAGCAAAATGAGCTCAGAAAACAGGACAGAACTTTGGCAGATCCGCATGAGAGAACTGTCTGGAGCGATTGCAGTCTCGGCGCTGTTTCAAGTGATCATCGGGTTCGGAGGAATTGTCGGGTACTTGTTGAAGTTCATCACTCCCTTGACAATTGTACCCACTGTTTCTCTGGTTGGGTTGTCGCTGTTTGAGAACGCTGCTGCTGCGGCTTCCCAACATTGGGGTATTGCTGCTGGGTAAGGATTAATTCTTAAAAAATAATTGTTGTAATTATAATAAGTTACTTACATATAAAACAATAAAAAAAACTTTTTTATGAAAGTTATTATTATTAAAACACTTTGTTTTATTAAATTGAAATGAAACAAGTTATAGCCGACATTTAAAAATTTTCAGAATTTTTTTTATTGAAAAAATTATTACGAAATAATAAAAAAAAAAATTTCACATGTAAAATTATTAAAGATTTATAAGTGCAATTTTTGAAAAATATTTTTTATTTATAATTTAATAAATGAAAAGAAATCAAAAAATTAAAAACGTCGGCTTATTTTAGTATCATGATTTTTACAACAAATAAATTACTACTAAGAAAAACATTTTTAAAAAAATTGCATCTAATGTTGCAACATATTTAAATTGAAAAATTATTACAAAAAAATTAAAAAAAATTTTTCTTTATAAAAAACTGTAAGTGCAATTTTAAAAAAATATTTTTTCATTCTAATTTAATTAATGAAAATAAATCCAAAAATTAAAAACGTCCCTTGTGGAAAAATTTCTCTGAAATAACTGTGAAAAAATTTTATATTAAGTACGAATAATAGTTCATGAATTTTTTTATTTTCTTAAAAAGTCTGATAGAAAATCAGATTTTTTGCAAGATTTGGATCTCTGCCAGAAGAATTATTCAGAATTATTAAAACTTCTTGTAGGAACTTTTATAGAAATAATTCTCTGAAAAAAACTCTTGAAAAGTCAAATTTTCCTTGAAATTTAAGACTTTCCCAAAGTTGAATTTTTCAGACTTCAGTTTTACAACAATAGAAGAGAATATTTCTTTCCAGTCGGCTAACTTTAGTATTATTGATTTTCTTGGTCTATTATAACTTCTTGAAAATTAAATTAGTCAACATCTAAAAACTTGAATAATTTTTTTCATTGAAAAAATTATTACAAAAAAATGAAAATTAAAATTTTCACATGTAAAAAATTAAAAAAATTACCTGTGCAATTTTTTTCAAATATTTTTTTACTTAAAATTAATTGTTGAAAAAAATAAAAAAAATTGTTAAATGCCGGCTAATTTTAGTATTATACAAAACTTATAGATATAAAATTATTTTGAAAGACTTTCAATATATAAGTTTTTAAAAAATGTAGAATTAAAAAAAAATTATTTTTTACTTTGATTTATTTTATTTTTAAAAATATAAAATAATAATAAACAACTTTATAGATATTTTCTGACGTAAGTCATTAAATTTTCAGTTTATTGGTTATCCAGTCTACTATAACAATTTTTTCCTCTAATTTTTCGTAATATTGTTAGCCTGTATTTCCATTCAGGCATAAACAATTTATTCTCAATTCATATCTAAATTTGTTATTAAAGATAAATTTGACTGAAAAAATAATTCGGACGGCCCAGACCAGGACTAGAACCTGGATCTTTTAGTTACGCGCCAAAGGCTTTACCTGTTAAGCTATCTGAGTCAAATTTTATATTAATATTACGAAAAATTAGAGAAAAAATTGTTTTATCAGACTAGATAGTCCACAAACTGAAATGACTTTTATTTCTTTAAGATAATTTTACAAATTAATTTAACAATTATTAATAATTTAACAAATTAATGACTTACGTCAAAAAATATCTATGAAGTATTATAAACCAGTCTTCAGAAAAAATAAATATTGAAAATAATAAACAACCTTTAAAAATTTTCTAGGACAATAATCATGCTGACAGTGTACTCTCAATTGCTAGTAAACGTATCAGTGCCACTGATAGTATACCGAAAGAGCGAAGGCTTTAAGGTTATCTGGTTCGCATTGTTCAAATTGTTCCCAGTACTGCTGACAATCGTAGTAATGTGGGCGATTTGTGGAATCCTGACAATAACGAACCACCTTCCAGTAGGACACCCAGGGCGAACGGACACCAAGCTGAAAATAATCGAAGACTCTCCTTGGTTCCGAGTTCCATACCCAGGACAGTGGGGAACCCCAACAGTAAGCTTGTCAGGAGTGCTGGGAATGTTGGCAGGCGTGCTAGCGTGCACAGTAGAGTCCATCAGTTACTACCCGACAACTTCAAGAATGTGCGGAGCGCCACCTCCGCCAATTCACGCAATAAACCGCGGAATCGCCATTGAAGGTCTGGGAACAGTTCTGGCAGGTCTCTGGGGCAGCGGGAACGGAACCAACACATTTGGAGAAAACGTCGGAACCATCGGCGTCACCAAAGTCGGAAGCAGGCGAGTAATCCAGTGGGCATGCGTCCTAATGGTTCTTCAAGGAGTGATCAGCAAGTTCGGCGCTGTCTTCATCATAATTCCCGAGCCAATCGTCGGAGGGATTTTCTGCGTGATGTTCGGGATGATTGCCGCCTTTGGGTTGTCAGCGCTGCAGTACATTAACCTAAACTCCGCCAGGAACTTGTACATTCTAGGATTTTCTATATTCTTCCCGCTAGTTCTGTCCAAGTGGATGATCCAGAACTCTGATGTAATCAAAACAGGGAATGAAATAGCCGACGGAGTAATTACTGTCCTTCTCAGCACGACCATCCTTGTCGGCGGATTCGTCGGTTGTTTCCTGGACAATATTATTCCTGGAACCAGCGAAGAGAGAGGATTAGACGCTTGGGCCAATGAAATGGCGCTCAACTTTGATGAAGCTGATGATAAAACAGACGGCGAGTACATTCCAAATACTTTTGACTTTCCGGTCGGCATGACGCTGCTCAGGAAATGGAAGTGGACTTCTTACTTACCTTTCATGCCGACTTACCGACCTAGAGCGCGCAATTGTCGGAAGAAGAATAGATACGACGTAGAAAATTGAACTTTGGGTTAGAATTTAGTAACAATTTTTAACTTCCCGCTAAGAAAATTGAAAATTTTCAAAAATCGGGAAGTTATTGGTTTTACCCCGTTTTTCGAAAATCGAGTTTTCATCAGATCTCGACGTTTTGAGGTCCTAGGAAGCTTCCCTGACTATTCCCGCGAGGGTGTCACTATGTCTGTATGTATGTATGTGTGAGTGTGTGTGTGTGTAAGTATGTAAACCTCTTATAACTTTTAAACGGTTGAACCGATTTCATCGTGGTTGGTGCTATTCGAAAGGGCTTTACTAAACTTAGATTTCCTGAAAATTTGAACCGATTTGGACCTATAGATTTTGAGAAATTTAGAGAAATCTCCAAAAAAAATAGGAAAAAAATTTTTTTCAGAAGTGGTTTTTTTGGAATAACTTTTAAACGGCTCTACCGATCGATTTCAAAAACTAATCAGCTCTCAACCTTAAAAAACCACGTCGATTGCTGTCAATCCGGTCAAAATCGGTTGATTCGTTCAAGAGATATCGTAAACGAAAAAAAAACCGAAAAAAGAGTTTTTTCGGAATTACTCCGAAATTTCTAGTTTAACCAATTGAAACTTAAGAATTCTTTATGAGGCTTAAAAAACTGCGTAGAATGCCGCCAACTGCGTAAAAATTGGTTGATCCATTCAAAAGTTATTGCGGTTTGAAAATTCCAAAAATAGTGTTCTATGAAACTTCTATCAGACTTTTGAGCTGGGAGAGCTCAAATTCATAGAAATATTATTTTTTTGAACTCAGGGAGCTCAAAATATCACATAAATTATTTTTTGAGCTTAAAAATCTCAAAAATGTCATAAGTACAATTTTAAGCGCCCAGGAATGGAATTAGCGGGAAGTTGCACGGATGGCCTTTAGGGTGAACCGTTTTTCTAATTTTTTTTTATAGTTAAAACGTTTATTTACTTGTTTATAATATTGATATTTTACATTTAAATAAATTAATAATTAAATAAATTTTTTTAGTGAATTAGTTTTTATAGAATAGATAATCATAAAAATTTATTTACAAATTACATACATTGGTAGAAAGGTTAGCTTGACTCAAGATTAAAATTCTTGAACCAAGAAAATATTTTAGAGTTTCATTGTTTTGGATCAAGACAAAAAATTCTTTAATCAAATAAAATTTACTTAAATCAAGAAAAATTTTTAGTTTAAGAATTTTCTACTCTAATCAAGAAAATGAAATTTTTCAAAATAATTTTTCTTGATTCAAAGAAATTTCTTTTCATATAACCTCCATTAAAAATGCGAGTTTCAATTCCTGTTGAGCCAACTGAAACTAGTCAATTTCAGACCAATGCGACTATTACCGAGCAGAAAATCATCATTTTCTGCCCGCGAGATGAAATTGCCCCTTTATTTTCAATCCGATCAAAGTATCTTTTGTTTATTTTATACCTTTATAATTGTTATTCTAACTGTTAACTGTACTGACACATTATAATTCTGTTATTAAGTACAGTAAAACCTGGTTATTAGAGCAAGTAACTTATAATCGAGTAACTTATAACCAGATTGTTGAGAAAAAAAAAATACTTTTACTCAATTAACAATTTCTTGGTTCAAGAAACTCGCCGACGATCAAATATTCTATTATTATTAATTATTAATTTCTGAAGAAAAGAACATCAATATTTATCTTTGGATAATAGATAAATAAAAGAATAGTTTTATTTAAATTAAGTAAAAATTATTTCAATCAATTTAACAATTTCTTGAGCTAAGAATATATATTCTTAAAAATTTTCAAGAACATAAATTCTTGTATCAAGAAAATTTTTTTAATAAAACTGTTTTTTTCTCAGTGTACTGTACAAATAAGAATGACAATATAAAACTATTTAATTTACGAATAGTTTTTAATAAAAAATAAACTATTCGTTTCTTAAATTGTAGTTTTTAATTTCCTTAATAAGATTAATAAAATAAAATTGTATTTTCGCTATTCGTTTGAAATTATCTAATTTTGGTTGGCTCCAGACATTGAAACTAGTATTTTTAATGAAACTTATATGAAAAATAAGTCACTCTGGTCTGTAATCGTTTTGTTTCGTCCCTAGTCACACAATATACTATTTTCTGTGTACTAAAAGGAAAACAATAAATTTCTTGGGCCAAAAAAAAAATTCTTCAATAAATTTTTTTTTAAACCAAAAATTTTATCTTCGCTCAAGAATTTTTTTTCTTGACTTAAAAAATTTATTGCTTTTCCTTATTATAAAATAATTTCTCCAAAGTCAATCTAACTTTCTATCAGTGTAGTAATAAATCACAAGAATCCATGGCCAGCAATAACAGCAGGAATAAAACCTTCCCTACTGTCTCTAGACCTGACCCAGAACCATCCTTGGACATGATCGCTGAGCAAAGCAACGACATCGCCCTTGGAAACACTGATGGAATTACTTCCTCGGCCCTCGTAGTCGCTTCGGATGACCAGAAGAGTCTGCCTGGAGCCCTTGGTCCTGGCATTTGCAGCAGCTCGAAGATACAATCTATCAACACTGCGTTCTCCGCAGGCAGAAACTGCGTCGCGATGACCACGTCGCACCCTGGAGGAGCGTTCACGGACTCCACACTCGGACCTGGTGTCTCTGAGCTTCTCGGTGTCAGTCATGTTCCCGATGGGCCTGGGGAACACGTCAGTAGAGTCTTCCCAGCAGGGACCACATGTGGGTTGAGGCAGGATGCCCAGAGGAAGACACGCTGCGTACCCCACGTAGCCTTCCTGGCCATGAGGTGTCTGGACGTACAGCCAGGCTTGGTTCTTGAAGACCGCGTTGACCACCGTGCCTAGAGGCAACGCTATCTCGTCCTGGCCCCCACTCTGGGTCTGGTACAACGTCGTAGGAAATGACAAAACAACTGGAATGTTTGCCGGACGCTCTATTGACGCCTTTGTAAGGAAGGAATCGAGATCAGCGATCTCGTAACCAAATCTCGTTGGTGGTCGCGGGTTGTGATTTCTTTTGGTTCTTCGATGGCGGTGATGTTTTTCACGCGTCGCTGATTCTTTTAATGCTAAAAATGGCTCTGATACAGCGCGTTTCACTTTATCCGTCTCCGGAGGATCTTTTGAGTCTTGTTTTTGGTCAGCTTTACTGCTTACTGGGGTTTCTGGTTGCTTGTTCAGTTCCTTCGCTGGCTGAAATTGGAATTTTGTAAATTAGTTTTATTTTTTTTTTGGACGAAAAAGTTTGATCGCTGCATTTTATTGAAATATTAACAATTCATTTTTTTTTATTTAAAGTTTTAGGAAGAAATATTTAAAGTGATATTTTGTTTGTTAAATTAAAAAAATTATATTTTAGAAGTTTTTTCTTAATATAATAAACAATTTTTTGTAAAAAATTACTTATTATTAATAGTTTGGAATTATAAATGGGTTACTTTATTTTTATGCGCGCGCAGGGCGCCATTTTGTTGAACTTAGTACTCCATTTTCTTTAACACAAAATTTTTACTATAAAATTTGGATTTATTTGTGTAATTTTGATAAATTAAAAATGCTAATTTTTTAATTTAGACTTTTGAAATTGACAAAAATAAACAAATACGTAATTATTCTAACGGTATTTGAAAATAAAATACTAAGTAACCAAAATATTGGAATTGAATTGTAAAATAACCTAAAATAATTGAACTACAATCCAACAGACATCTGACAACTTCCAAAAAATTTAATTAATGGTTTTTTATAATTTCTATCTGCAAAAAATTTTTTTAGAAAAATTTATAGATCAAAAAGTCCTAAAAATTGTCCAAAAATATATTTTGGCAGTATAAAAATTTTACAACTAAAATCCGGGCAGTGATTAACTTTTACACCTTAAAAATAATAATAAAATAAATGATACTGAAGATAACAGACATCTAACATTTCTTCTAATTTTTGTAACCAATAAAAATTATAAAAAATTCACACTTATAATTTTTTTTAATTTCTACATGGTAAGAACAAGATTATACTGGATAACATTCCAGATTATACTCAGTGAGATCTGTAGTGAAAAAAAAAATTTAGATAGTAGCTGATATAATTCACAAATTGTAAACAGTACTTCACGCGCATAAGCACTAGAAAGAAAATGGCACAGATATCACTGTATATAATCCAAGATTCTACTGAGAATGATCTAAAATGAAATCCAGTGTAACCTTCTTCTTTCCGTGTACATGTAGAATTTTTTTCATTATAATTTAATTATTATAGAAATTTTTTAAATTATTAGATGCCCGCTAAATTCAGTATAATTAAAATATTTAAATAATACTAAAGTTAGCCAACATTTTTAATTTTTTGACATTAAATAATAAAAATCTTAAGATATTTTTAAAAAATTGCACTTATAGTTTTTCAAGTTTTTTACAAATGAATTTTTTTTTTTTATTATTTTGTAATAATTTTGTCAATAAAGAAAAATTCTAAAAATTTTTAAATGTCCGCTAACTTAATTATTTATAATATTTAAATAATAATAAATAAGTTAGCCGACATTTTTGAATTTTTTTTTATTAAATTATAACTAAAAAATTTTTTAAAAAATTGCACTTATAGTTCTTAAAGTTTTTAACAAATAAAAAAATTTTTTTTAAATTTTTTTGTTATAATTCTTTAATAAAAAAAAATCATAAAATTTTTTAAATGCCAGCTAACTTAATTTTCATAACATTCAATACCTTTTCATGTCTTACAATCTTATCAATCTCTTGCAAGACATTGCAGCGTTCATGTTTATCCCGATCAATAATCTCGGTACTTTCCTTGGTCTTGATGCTCTTGATACTCTTGACACTCCTTCTGGACGACCTATCTTTGCTCTTGCGAATAATCTGTGATTCCTGAATGCTCGCGGTATTATTGACGTCATTGTGCTGATGCTGCTGTCCGCGAAGTACCCAAGTCAAGGATATTTTAGGGCGCAAAAGTGTACTGGGACGTTGGCCCATGCTCTTGTAACTTGACGACAAATAACTTGGTGCCGGCGAGGGCGTACGCGAGGGTGTCACTCGTAACAGCGGACAATTCGCCACCAAGTCCACCTCCTGCAGCGTACAGGCATCCTCCTAGAACCGATAATTTTTTATGATTAAATAAATGCAATACTAGCCTCAAGTACGTCTCGAGTAACAATAATTGTACTATTAAATACATTTTATCGGTAAAATGTAAACCTTTACTGCAGCATTTAGCTCTCATGAGAGCCAGACAGTAAAAACCCAAACAAAGGATAAAAGTTAATTATATCCTCGTAAGAAATAATTATTATAGTGGAATTATATGTTAGCAAAACACCTCGTCTCAACTTTTATATTTAAAAGGAAGAAAACCTCCACTGAGGGATTTAACTCTCGGGAATAGTTGTCTTAATACCTTGGGAGAGTCGTTATCCTCTTCAAGGTTTACTTGCTCCGTTTCCTCGTTTCTAATATCCTCATCGACGTTCCACTGTCGTCGCTTCAAGTCTCCTGAAAATAAATAATTCACGTTAAACTATTTACTATTTATAAGAAAGAAGATATAATAGTTTACCATCACCGTTAACGAGTTTATGACCTAATAATTTTGCTCCGGCAGGCTACTGATCATAAGTATGTAGCATTTGATTAAAACAAGCTTGGAAAATTTTACAAGGCCTCATTAGAATTTTTAATTAGTAAATTTACATAATTTAATTCAATAGTTTGGAATTAATATTAATAGTTTTTTGAATCAAGTTAACTCAGTCGGTTTTGTTGCGGGTAAATAAATATTTTAATGATAGTCAAGTTATTATGAAAATTAAGTTAGCCGACACTCAAAAATTTTTATTAATTAAAAATTAGAACTAAAAAACTATTTTTAAAAAATTCTACGTATAATTTTTTTTATTTTCTACATGTGAAGATTTTTTGTTTTAATTATTTAAAAATTATTTTTCAATAAAATATGTTATAAAAATTATTAAATTTTCATAAGTTATTAGCTGACAATTGTCAATTTTTATAATAAATCAATCACACTAAAATAGAAATGCTTCTAAAAATTTTCACTAATAAATTATTTTTTAATTTTCACATGTGAAATTTTATTTCAATGAGACTTAAGTTAAAAGACATTAGAAATTTTTTTAGAACTTTGTAGTAGTGAAATTATTATGAAAAAAATTTAATATAAAAATTCCATTTTTGAAAGGTAAAAAAAATTATTAATTAAAATTTTTAGAAGCATTTTTACTGTAATTGAAATATTATAAATTATAAAATTTTTAAAAAATTGAATTTTTTTCAATAATTAAATTAGAACAAAAAAATATTTTTAAAAATTGCACTTATAGTTTTTCAAGTTTTTTACAAATGAAATTTTTTTAAAAATATTTTTGTAATAATTTTTTCAATGAAAAAAAATTCTTAAAATTTTTAGATGCCGATTAACTTAATTTTCATAAAAAATTGATAGTTAACTTCAGTATTACTTTTTTTATAATAATTTCATTATTATAAAATTAGAAAATAATTTCTAAAGTCTGTCAACTTCAAGGTCATGTTTTGATATGGCGCTAGTGTTGTTTTTTTTTTTTTTTTTAATTATGATTCTGATGAAGATGATAGACATTAGGAATAATTGTTTTATAATTTCATAGCATCAATGAAATTGTTCTGAAGAAAAATTCAATGAAGAAATTCCACATGTGAAAATTAAAAAAATAATTTGTGAAAATTTTTAAAAGTTTGTTTTTTATTGTAATTGATTTGTTATACAAATTAAAAAAATTGACAGCTAACTTCAGTATTATGAAAAATTTCATATGAAGAAATTAAAAGAAAGTTAAATAAATTTTTTAAAAATACTTTTTTAGTATTTAATAAATTTTTTTTATTAAATTGAAAGATTTTCAGATCTGCTGATACTAGTATAGCGGATTTTTTGTCATGATAATTAGAAATAACCTCAATTTATTTGTAACAATTATTTTACAGGATTCATTGATAATTAAAAAATTAAAAAAAAAATTGTAAGATTAGTATACAGAAATTATTTCATGTGTAAAAAATAATTTATTAAAAATCTATTTCAGGTTTTCTTTATAATTAGAAGAAAATTTACAATAATTTATTTATAAATTGAATTTATAGATTGTAAGAAGAAATTTTATAAAAAAACTTTGATGAAAATTAAGTTAGCCGACTTTAAAAATTTTTTTTACTAAAAAAAAATTTTTTTTAAAATTTCATTTGTAAAAAATTTGAAAAACTGTAAGTGCAATTTTTAAAAAATATTTTTTTGTTCTAATTTAATTGAAAAAAAATCAAAAAATTAAATTTAGTGATCAATTTTTTTTTAAATTTTAATATATATTAATTACAGTCAAAAAATGCTTCTAAAAATTTTCATTAATAATTTGTTTTACTTTTTACATATGAAATTTTTTTGTAAAAAATTTGAAAAATTGTAAGAATAATCTTAAAAAAAATATTTTTTACTTCTAATTTAACAAATGAAGTAAAATAAAAAATGTCGGCTAGCTTTATTATTCTAAAACTGTTTTTAAACATAAAATACATATTTATCAAGAAAAAAAACTAAGTAGCACTTAAATAAATACGGAAGAAGAAACATTTTTTGCTAATGAGAAAAATATTTGTATCATACAATGATACTATTGTTTGCTACTTTCATTGATTTTTTCTCAAGATGTGAAGAATATACATGTAATTGAAAGAAGTGATAATGATGGTAAGTAGAACAATTAAAAAAAGAAATAAATAATTTATGGTTTGTAAAAAATAAACTTTGAAAAAATTCTTAATTAAAAATCAAACTAAATTAGGTACTAAATTATATTTTAAAAAAATATAAATTTTTTAATAACACCAACTGTTGATTTTAAATAACAATTAATTACCGCTTATCAAAGTACCACATCTATTAATTAAGTAATCGATAAATAAAAAGGAATATATATTTATGAAAGATAAAAACCACCTAATATATAATTCAACTTTCAATAATTTTTCAAAATATTTAACTGTTACAGGATAAAGATTTGCGATAAACCCGATTGAACACAAGACACTCTACTGATGAATTACCTGCTAGGCCGGAAAAGAACCGCCCCGTGGTCGGTTCAATAGTAAAGAGATTATCCTGGGGCAAGATTAAACGCACTTGAGCTACGCGATAATGTCAGAGCATGTTAAGATTTATGAGAACCACCTTTTTATCCATTTCTATTATTTTAAGGATTATCACCAACAATTAACAAGCACTGAATCACATTGTGGTACCAAAGACTAATTTTTGGTAAAATTAATTGGGTTGATTTTAAATATTGCTAATATAATATTATTGAATGTAAATTTAAGTGATAGAATATTAATTGTAAAATTTTTTTAAAGGATAACTACACTCGGTAACTCGCGGAGGACCGTAGATGCAGGAAGGCAGCGAAGACTAGACTAAAGCTGAGGGATCACTGGATGTCGGAACTCAAGGTTTCGTTGCCAGTGAGAGATCCCTAGATGAGAGAAAGCCGAAGATGCTCGGGAACGACGTACAAGGCGGTTTGCTGTCAAGAGGAGGAAGAAAGACAGGCCCAGAGAAGAGTATATAACACTACTTCGGAGGATTGGCCTCCTCAATTCCCGCGTAAAGCACCCGGCCAATCGGAATTCGCCCTTTGCCAGCGTAATTGTTGGGTACCGCGTGCTCAACGATACGAGCCAAGGATTTGTTTGGATTTTATAAGATTGAAGGAATTTATTTTTTATTAATATTTTATTGTGGGGGATTAATATGTCTGTTAATTTATATTTCTTTTATTAAAAAAAAATTATTAGAAATTATTTATGACACTAAAGTTTAGATGGTCTAAAAATTTTTGATTTTTTTTTATTAGAAAATTACAACTAAAAAGACATTTTTAAAAAAATGCACTTGTAGTTTTTCAAATTTTTTTAAAAATTGATTAATTGAAATTTTTTCAATAAAAAATTTTTAAAAATTTTGAGATGTCGGCTAACTTTTCATAATGATTTCACAGTATTAAATGCTCATAAGAGATGTGATTTAAAATTATTTAGATGATTTGACAGGATTAAAAATGATTATGAAATTAATCAGGATTATTAATCATTTTTATGATTATTATTGATGAAAGTTAATATATAATTATAGAAATAGATAATTTTATATTTTTAATAAAATTTAACTAATGGAAAAATTTATATCTAACAGATATTATTTATTGGGCAAGATTGAAAGAAAAATTTGTTTATATTTAACAAGCTTTATTAATTGGTAGTAAATGATTTTTTAATATATAAGTTAATTTAATCTATATTCTTAAGAGAAAAAGAAAAACTTTGTGTCCAGGATAGTTATATGATAAAATCGGTTTTTTTTAAGTGGAATTTAGTGTCCTTGCAAAGGTCTTGACTTGAATTTGTGTCTTTTTAAGGTTTTATTTCCTTCTTACCAATAGTCAATTTATTTTATGATAAGTATTTAAGCTGTATTTGAAAATGCTCTGTTTCTAGATTCATAATTAAAAAATGACCTTGTATTTGGTAAACTATTGACATTTTTAAAGATATAAGCTCATCCCGACATTACAGTCATCGAGACCTTTCATTTGAGTACCAACATTAATTTTTCATATATTTCATATATTTATATATATTACATATATGTATATATGAAAAATATATTAAAAATGTAATTGGGTACTCAAATGAAAGGTCTCGATGAGTGTAACATCAAAATGAGCTTACATCTTTGAAAATATCAATAATTAAGAAATGACCTTGTATTTTGTCAACTACTGACATTTTAAAAGATATAAGCTCACCCCGATGTTACACTCATTAAGACCTTTCATCAGAGTACCCACATCAATTTTTCATATATTTTATATATATTTATATATTTCACAAATACCATATATATATATATATATATATATATAT